TGCAGTTGTTATGCAGAAGAGCAATGCTTCGGAAGTACGGGAACTTGTCGTTCGTTGCATCTCCCAAATGGTTTTGAGTCGTGTTAACAATATAAAATCCGGATGGAAAAGTGTTTTTACGGTATGTATGGTGTTCTATGGTTAATTTTAATTTTTCATAATTCCCTGGGCACAATTGGGAACTACTCTCTCCGGGTTGATAATATTAGTCGTTTTGAATAGGGCAAAGTCAAACTTTAAAATCTTTGACTATAAATAATTTCTAAAATATTTATCTTAAAAATATGGAAACCATATGTGTAGATTAGTCTTAAAAAGTACTTCAGTAAAATCATATATTTGTTGATATTCCTATATATATTATAATAGAAAATAGTTGCCAAAGTTACTTTTTGGAGACCGTGCACTTGTCCAAAACGACAAGTATTATCAATCCGGAGGGAGTGGTTCTGAAGAAATAACTAGAGGAACATCCCTGCATTGCCACTCAATTTATAATATTTTATCTTAATACAGGTTTTTACTGCTGCTGCTGCTGATGATCGAAAAAGTATTGTGCTGTTGGCATTTGAAACCATGGAAAAGATTGTTCGGGACTATTTTCCATACATAACTGAGACTGAAACCACAACATTTACTGATTGTGTTAAATGTCTTATTACATTCACGAGCAGTAAATTTAGCAGTGATGCCAGTCTCAATGCTATTGCATTTCTTCGGTTCTGTGCTGTTAAACTTGCCGAGGAAGGATTTGTTTGTCATGAAAAGGATACAGATCACCAGTCAAATAACTTAGATGTTTCTGATGGGAATGCCACTCTGCACAAGGACGATCATGTTTATTTCTGGGTTCCTCTGCTTGCCGGTGAGTTATTTTTTCTGTCACAAAACTAGATTGGTCTTTCTGCGTTAGTCGATTTTGAAGTGCTTTGCGCTTGTAACATAGTTATTGCTTTATGCCTTCAGGTCTAGCTAGGTTGACAACTGACACAAGACCAACAATCAGAAAAGGTGCAGTAGAGGTACTCTTTGACATTTTGAAGGATCATGGGCACCTCTTCTCGCAGTCCTTTTGGAGAAATATCTTTGAATCTGTTGTTTATCCTCTATTTAGCACTGGTAGCTCTACACCAAATGGGCACATTAATCTAACTGAGGATGACTCTTGGAATTCTGAAACTAAAACAGTAGCAGTCAAGTGTTTAGTGGATTTGTACATTACCTTTTTTGATGAGATGCGGACAGAACTTTCTAGAGTTACTTCTGTTGTCACAAACTTTATCAGAAGTCCTTATAAACAGTCTGCTAGCACAGGTTTATCTGTTTTTCAGCGTTTAACAGAAGGACTTGAAAGCAGACTCTCCAAGGAGGAATGGAAAGAGATCTTGTTATGTTTTAAAGACTCAGCAATGCAAACATTTGTCGTGTTTGACAAGATAGTTAGGATGATGCAAGATATAGAAATTCCAGATAGAAATGAATCTTATCCTGAAGTTGAACGATATTCAGATAATGACATATACAATGATGATGAAGAGGAAGCTAATATGGAAACAACATCATACGCTATTATTAAATTGAAGAATCATATGGCGCAGCAGCTCTTAGTTGTTCAGGTACTTACAGTTTTTGTTACTTCTGTCAATAATTCCCTTATGTAACATGCCCTATATTTAATTTAATACTATACTTTCCTTTGGCCATCCAACTAAAACAGTAATATAACAAATAAAAAATAGTCTTCCCACATGTTCTACATGCCAACAATTGTTCTAAGATCAAACTCACCACTGGTTTCTTTTCAGGGCATAGTTAAATTGTATGAGACACACAGGTGGTCTTTTTATGCTGAGCATATGGGAATAATTTTAGAGACACTATCAGCCATTGCGTCACATGCAAGTGAAGTGAGCTCCGAATCTACCTTGCTCATGAAATTCCATAAAGCATGTTCCCTTTTGGAGGTGTCTGAGCCAGCAGTCATTCATTTCGAGAATGAGTCTTACCAGAGCTATCTCAAACTTCTGCAAGCTTTGGTTCATGACCACCCATCAATCTCAGAAGATATGAAAATTGAGTCACATATTATGCTTGTTTCTGAGAAAATACTACGGAAGTATCTCAAATGTGCAGGGCGTGAACGATCTAACGATTCATCTGGTAGAGATCCAGCATTACGCTGGAAACTGCCTTTGGGCACTGCTAAGAAGGAGGAACTGTCTGCTAGAACTTCATTGGTCCTTCATGTGATGCAGTTATTGGGTGGCCTAGAGAGGGACTGCTTTAGGAGAAACCTGCCCCTGTTTTTCCCCTTATTAACTAACCTCATTCGCTGTGAGCATAGCTCTGGAGAAGTTCAGCTTGCACTGTATGATATATTCCAGTCATCGATAGGCCCTATAATATCAACATAGTATATATATCATTTGTTCAGCGGTTGTACAATTTTTCCATTCCAATTTCATAAGGTATAGCTTATTGATAGTGGTTACATGAGAATATAAGATAAGAAAAAGGTACCAGCTTGGCACTGCTGTAAATGACTGGCAGTTGGAACCTGCGCCTTCAGAATTCTGTTTGAAGGTGAAATCTTTTTTCTGGTTCTTCACAACTTAATATGTTGAAACTTTCAACTAAAATGTGGGATTAATCGTACACCATTTGTTGCAGCATCATTTAACATCGACCCAGGTGCCTGGAGATGGTCTTTTGAGGCTCATTTGACATTCTTTTTCTAACATACATTTCAATTCGATGGGGGTTCAGACTTCAGAGGCAACTGAATATTGGAAGTTAGAACAAGTCTTTCTGACTTCCAGGTCTGCTGAGGTTTTACAAAGAAATGGTTTGCTCACGAATGACAAAAATTTTGGCATGTAGCATTTTGTCCTTTGTATTACTTGTCTTTTGTATAGTATTTTCTTCAGAAAAGAGACTTTAAAGTCGTCCATCAAGTTGTTCTTTTTTTCCGCTTTAAATTTATATACTCGAATTGCAGGCAACATGTATTTGTCATTCTTAGTGGAAATGGATCAATAAATGAAAGTTGATTGGTAACAGATAACTCTTTGTTTTACAGACCAGTGTGGAAATAATCTGTTGGTTTATTTCCCTTTGTCAGGAAAGGATAACATATTATTTTTAGTTTAGACAAGGATAACGTATTGCCTAGCATTACTAAGTTACTTATCATTTATAGGCCCCATTGAAGCATGATCATCCCTACCCCTAGTGGTAGTTGAACTATTTTCTACTACATTCGTTCCAAAATACAAAAAAATTTAGGGTTATACACGGAAATTGCTCAGACTCATGAACTTTGCGAGCTAAATCTCAAATACTAATTCGTAAGCTTGCATATGTATGCAAATTTCTACTGATATCCTAGTAGACTAGCACTGGATTTTTCATAATTCGGTCCTCTTGAGAAACTTATTTCGCAAATAGACTGCTAGAAAAACTTATCCCAGAAACGGTCATTTTTAGGGCGCTGAGTCATTGGCGCCGTGGTCCAATGGCACAGCGTAATCATCTCTGCCGTCGTCCCCATGCCACTATGGAGGGTCGGCGCTAGGGATGGCAACGGGTCAGGTCAGGCACGGGTAGAGCAAAACCATGCTTGACCCCATGCCCGTCTTGCCCGTCCAAATCCTACCCACTAGGGTTAGCGGGCAAAACTCTGTGCCCATACCCATGCTTGATGGGCACGGGTATGTCCGGCGGGTACCCAATGAATCTCACGTAAATAATAACTCTAAAGATATATAATTTAACAAAGAGAAATAAAATTAACAATTTACCAAATTATCAGTTATCAACAATAATTTGAATTACATTACAACTTATTATTAGTTAGTATCACAAATGAACCAAGAGAAAGGGGTATAAGAATTAAGAGATAAGTCAAAATTAGCTAATACATATGTATCAGGTCGGGCGTGGGTTACCCACACGTAAAAAATGAAACCCAGCCGTTACCCACGATATCTTCGGGTCTCGGGTGGGCGTGCCCATAGATAAAAAATCGACGCCCGTACCCATTGGGTCGGGTATCCACAGATACCCGAACCCATGGGCAAAATTGCCATCCCTAGTCGGCGCTGACGTGGCAGGGGAAGCGCGCCAATGTCTCTGCCCCCCCACCCCCCACCCCCACCCCCCTTTTTTTTCCTTTCCTCTCTACTGTAGAAGAGAGATGTGCAACTTTTTTTTTCTTTCCTTCCCCGTTAGACCACGGTGCCAATGACTCTGGTGCTCAAAAAGGACCATTTCTAGAATAAGTTTTTTTAAAGGTCTATTTATGAAATAAGTTTTTTAGAAGGACCAAATTATGAAAAATCCAGTAGACTAGCAGGTATCCAAATGATAAAACAATATGAGGTGTATCAAATATTCTTCTTATCCCTCATTATTTGTTAATGCCAATAAAATTACAACTTCTTAAAGTAAATTTTATATAACCTCAGAAATTATGGTCCTAGATACACGGTGACGTACAATCTGAGCTCGAGCCTGATCAAGCTTTAGCTGAGCTGAGCTCAAATCCATCCCAATTGAGTTTCGAGGTTGAAATGCTCAAACTTGTGCCAAGTTCGAGCCTAAATAATTGGGGTTTGCCTAAGCTCGGCTCGTTGACATCCCTAGTTTGAGGGATGTAGTATATGTACCGCCCATCACCACAAAAATAAGGAGTGGGTTCCTCATAGCCAATCAAGAATCACCCATGATATAATAACAACAATGGTCAATGCTGATAAACATGTATCATGTATGTCACTAGAAGCCATCATCCTCTACTTTTTGTTTTGTACCATGCAAGGGCCCAACCACTCTTTTGTCAAACTAATCTTTGATACCTTCGAAGTCACAATCCATGACAAAAACATCACCTAATTCCTAAGTTGAAAATCACCGCCTAACCATGCATCAACACGCAATTTTCAAGACCCCCAAGAAATTGACATCTATCTTTCTTTCCAACATGGCCAGTAGGCCATCACTACCAGCAAACATAATTATATTACTATGTAATTTTATTCATCAAAATTAACATCATTTTTGTACATTCTTGATGGAAAGCATTACGCAACAAAAGCTAGCAAAACTGAGATATACAGATTAATTTAAGCTACTGCACATCACAGGATGAGTGAACTTCGTAACTTAATTGATCCACTAATTTTTTGCGAACGCGCAAAAGGATTGCACGTCAATATTAGTTGATCCACTAATTAATCGATGAAAATTCACTAGCAAGCTGATGCTGTAGTAGGCTGCAGGTATGATCTCTTGATGAACTCCAAGCAGTCGGCAATGGCCTCCGCCTGGAAAGAGCTCTCGCCGCCGGCCTCCGCCGGCGCCGCCAGCCGCCGGCGCCGGCAGTCCTGGCTCAGCCGCTGTGCCCTCATCACGGTGGTCGCCGCCGCCGCCGCCGTCGCCGGCGACCACCTCCTCGGGCAGCAATTGAGCTCCTCCAGGCACCGGAGCAGCAGCCCGACGACGCCGAACAGCCTCACCCGCAGCCGGAGCACCGAGCCCAGCCGGACATGCCGCACCCGCCGTCCCCGGCGGCCGGTCGCCGGCCGGCAGCTGATGCTGATCACCTGATGTGTCATTACGCAAGAAGAAGAAGATGATGATGGAGAAGAAGAAGAAGAAGCTACACTCTCTTTTTCAGTTTTCACTGACCTGAAACTGAAACTGAACTGAAAATGTGCAGAAGATAGCTAGCTGTGGTCTACTGCTTGGCCATGGATGGCCTCTTATATAGCAGCAAAGCTGCAACCTGTCACTCTGAAGTTATTTTTTTGTGAAAAAAATATATTAAAATTATGTGATCTAGAGGTAGTACACAAGTACACAACACACTTGGTGTGGGCCCAAGCTGGCAGCCATTGTGCTTCTTTAATACATTATCACCTGGAGAAACCACTTGTCAGTTGTCATGCTGTGTAGGATGGATTTCTCTCTCTTTTTTTTCTCTCTTCTCATGGCCTTACCTGCCCTTTGCAATGTTTTTTCTTAGTTGAATATATAGACATATAGTTGATGTCCTTCACTAGTAATATAGTATGGCTACTTCTGCCCTCTGAAGATTTGGACATTCAGGTTTTGTGGATGGAGTTGTCTATCAGACGATGTTAAATCTGCGTGCCCCTAATGGTTTCGCGCATTGTTAATTCGACAAAATGGAGATTACAATAGTGAGGATTAAGAGCTCAACAATATGATTTTGCTCAGATGTTTACCAACCTTGTACTTGTGAGTTGGGAATTCTGAATATTTTTGTGCCTTTGTTTTGTGAGGTTGAGACTTTGTCTGATCACTCTCAGCCTCACACCTCTGTTGCATCACTATCCTTCTGGAAATTGAATCTGAAAAATGGCAACTATTGCTATGTGATTTCGTCATGTCCTGCACTTTATGCTGGCAATGGGGACCTTGATGAGACATGAACAAAATTTAAGCATTTTTAGTTCCATGGCAAACATGTTTTCGCCATGTCGGCAAAACAAGGTTGTAACTAAAATACGTGATCTTGGGCCCACTTGCATGACAGTTTTCAATCACGTTTTGGTGTTTGTGACCTGATGGGATTAATATTTAAAAAAAAACAGTGTGAATTATTTGGAGAATCTATTTCATTTATGATTATTTATTTGAAACAAAATACTTTTAGGATTATTCAATTCCAAGTTTAGTTTGTTTGTATGTCGATTCAGGAAAAGAAAAAAAAACCATAGCTCCACTAAAATTTAGCAAATGATCAGATCACCACTAACATGAGCATATGCAACCAAATTAAGAACTTCTTATTGCTTTTTGATAATACCGAAGGTCACCGCAATCCACATCGAGGAGTTATAGTCAAACCAGAGTACAAGATTACAACATTCAAACTCTCAAAGCAAAGCCTAATAAGGCTCTGCTTCTTGTCTAAGCTTTAGAGGTTTAAAGCTTATTTTGGCAAAATGTCGCATCGTTCAAACAAGTCAGTAAAAGAAATGCAGCATTGCACCATATGAATACTGCTTAACAAAGGCTGCTTAAAAGGGAAGTTGTGCAGCGGATTTTTCCATTAGCAGTTCAGCTTCCCTGTTAAAAAAAAAAGTGTGATTAAAAAAAAACTGACAAAGAAACAGAACCTGTGGTAACATAATAAGTTAAAGTATTCTTACTGCGTGGGGTTTCTGCGTGTTGCTTTCCTAAGCTTTAGGATAGATGGTTTTGAACTCTTTGGCACTTGGGGAGCTGGTTCCCTAAAATTAACGAAAAAGGAAGGTATATTGAAAGTCGTGCTCCCTCCGTTTCAAACTATTAGTAATTTTAATTTTGGTCAAAGTCAAACCACTTCAATTTTAACTAAATTTGTAGATAAATATGGTAATATCTATAACACCAAATTAGTTCCATTAAATCTATAGTTAAATATATTTTCATAATATATTTCTCTTGGGTTAAAAATGTTACTCTTTTTTTTCTACAAACTTAGTTAAACTTGAAACAGTTTCACTATAATTTGAAACGGAGGGAGTACGTTATAAAGTTATTTTTTAAAAAAAAAACTATTCAAAATCATTAACAAGTCCTTGAACGAAAAAAAAAATCTCAAGTGATGTCCATTTAGGAGGCCTCACTTAGTAACTTTCTTCCGATATGCTTGTGTTCCAAGGGTATATATGGCAGGTGTTTATATAAATTTCAACATCAATTCTAGAATTTTTGCATCAGTATCACCACAGTCAAGAACCTCCAGGTTCATATAGATTTCTATTTTTTTATATATATCGATTACATGTTAGTCGGTAAAACCATTATCTAAAAAAAATGTTAGTGGGTAAAAAATAATAGCCTTTTTGCATTTTAACCCTAGGTTTGCTTTCCTTACCAGAAAAAAAAGCGAGGGAATTTACCGTAGTAGTATACCCAATCACCCCACACTTAGCAATAAACTAACAAATCCTGATTTTTGTGTGTTTTCGGTCAACTAAAATTAGTCATATAATGAAGCCCTGCCTGAGCAAAATCCGTTGTAGTCTAGCTGGTTAGGATACTCGGCTCTCACCCGAGAGACCCGGGTTCGAGTCCCGGCAACGGAATTGTTTTTGTTTTTCATCCTTTCGCTTTTTTTCCCCACAACTTTTTACGCTATTCTAATCATACAAACGAATAAGCATATACATAGGACCGCTTTCTTTAAAAAATAAAATATACATGTGAGGAAAATGGATTGTTATTATGGATTCACTCCATCTCTAACTACAAACATTGACATACCCGAGTTAATATTCATGTTCATAACTAGAATTTGATTTTTTTTTCTCCGATTGAGAGAGTACTAAGTAAAGAACACCAGCTTTCGCTTTTTCTTTCCAAAACTTTTTACGCTATTCTAATCATACAAACGAATAAGCACATACATAGGGCAGCTTTCTTTATGAAAATAAAATATACATGTGAGGAAAATGGATTGTTATTATGTATTCACTCCATCTCTAACTACAAACTTTGACATACCCGAGTTAATATTCAGGTTCATAACTAGAATTTGATTTTTTTTTTCTCCGATTGAGAGAGTACTAAGTAAAGAACATCAGCTTTCGCTTTTTTTTCCAAAACTTTTTACGCTATTCTAATCATACAAACGAATAAGCACATACATAGGGCAGCTTTCTTTATAAAAATAAAATATACATGTGAGGAAAATGGATTGTTATTATGTATTGACTCCATCTCTAACTACAAACTTTGACATACCCGAGTTAATATTCAGGTTCATAACTAGAATTTGATTTTTTTTCTCCGATTGAGAGAGTACTAAGTAAAGAACACCAGCTTTCGCTTTTTTTCCAAAACTTTTTACGCTATTCTAATCATACAAACGAATAAGCACATACATAGGGCAGCTTTCTTTATGAAAATAAAATATACATGTGAGGAAAATGGATTGTTATTATGTATTGACTCCATCTCTAACTACAAACTTTGACATACCCGAGTTAATATTCAGGTTCATAACTAGAATTTGATTTTTTTTTCTCCGATTGAGAGAGTACTAAGTAAAGAACACCAGCTTTCGCTTTTTTTCCAAAACTTTTTACGCTATTCTAATCATACAAACGAATAAGCACATACATAGGGCAGCTTTCTTTATGAAAATAAAATATACATGTGAGGAAAATGGATTGTTATTATGTATTCACTCCATCTCTAACTACAAACTTTGACATACCCGAGTTAATATTCAGGTTCATAACTAGAATTTTTTTTTTTTGCAACAGCAAAGAACACACTTAAAGAATATAAATGTAAGGAATATGATATATTGAGAACTCGCTAGTTAATTAAGTGGTTTCGTATCCCATGTACTTGATCGGACGCTTTCCTCTTAATTATTCGAAAGCAAATTAAAGCGGGTCTAGATAACATGAATCTTATGAATCTTGTGTGTTTGGACTGGCAGCTGGTTGTTCTTCATTTGTCTGGTTCACTCTCGGAATCCATCCATAGTATAGTATGGTCGCCTTGTAGAGTTGTAGATTGGCTTCAACTGCAGCCACAAGAGGGTTCCTCAGCACGTAATTAACTCTTCGATAAGAAGATAAAATTACCACACAAGCAAATGCGCACCTAACCAAAACAAACCTTACCATTTGTGGCTAATATTTTGGTAAGATGTTGTTTAGTTTGGTACCTTACCAAATTTTGGTATGGTTTTGTGAGTGGAATGTTCTACAATTGCCCAATTTTGGTAGAGTTTGGTAAGGTTGCAATGGTAAAATAATGTTAAGTTTGTTATCTTACTAAAACTTGGCAATGGCAAATGTTTGGTAAGGTTTATTTTAGCAATTAAGTGAATTAGCTAGAAATTTGTGATTTACAGGTGCAAATCAAATTTCCGCCAAATCTTGTGAATTTTGGTAAGGTTAATTTTGGCAACAAACTAAACAAACCCTTATTGTAAGAGGAAAAAATAGAACCATGTTGATATCTCATCCCTTTGCAACGCATGGGGCCTGTGACTAGTAGAAGAAAATGGATAATGTGAAGCTAAAGGGCCTACATGTTGGTAACAAATATATGCATAAAATGATAGTAATAATGGGTTAGCGATAATTTTCTTTAATTCAAATCCCATTGCAACGTACGGGCAATATGATATTTATTGTTGTAAACTTTGATGATTTGATGCTTTATCCGTTATCACTTTGATTATATTAACACATGTGACAATAACATATGGGACCATCCAAGTGTGTGACAGTGGGCCAGGATATCAAATAATCAAAACCTCATTTTTTTCTCTCTCTCTCTCTCTCTCACTTATTACCACCCAGTGTGTTGTCACTACTATACTCTCAGCTTGCAGCTTGAAGTTGTGAGTGCTATTAGCCAATAGGGTCATCAACTTTTGAGGTTCTGGGAGGTGATCATTTTTGCTATGCTGGATTAGATCAAGTGGAGTAATATTTCATCTACTCTCACTTTTTTTTCCCTGCTTTGGTTCATATCTAATCTTCTCTTCTCATTTCCGCTCCGTTTTCCGTACTTACACGCTGGGAATGTCCGATTCCGAACACAGCCTTAAAGTTCCGTAATTTATGCTGGCAATGGGGACCTTTGATAAGACCTGAGAAAAAAAAATAGCATTGGAGATCTATCCATGGCAAACATGTTTTTTGCCATGTCTGTGTCTGCAAACAAGTTGTCACACCTGATCTTGTGTATACACTGTCATGGATCCACTTGCATGACAGTTTTCAATCACGTTTTGGTGTTTGTGACCTGATGGGGTTATAGTGAATTATTTGGAGAATCTAATGCATTATGATTTTTATTTGAAAGGAAATAATTTCCCGGAAGGTTTACTCAATTCCAGCCTCAGTTTGTTCAGCCCAAAAAAGAAAAAAAAACAGAGCACCATTAAAAATTAGCATCACTTATGTTTATCAGCATCCAACCAAATTAAGCACCCCCAACCCTCGTCGAGGATTTATCAATCAAATTATTGTGCAATATTACAACACTCATGGATAGCCTAAAAAGGCTCTTTGCCTGCCTAAGCTTTAGAGGCTAAAGCTTATTTCAGCATAATGTCACAAACACTCAAACAATAAATTGGTAAAAGAAGATCGAAATACAGCATTACACCACATAAATATTGATTATCTAAGGCTGGTTAGAGGGAAATTCCGCAGAGGATTCTCCATAAGCAGTTCAGTTTCCCTGTTAAAAAAAAGCAAGTGTACATTAAAAAAAAATGAGAAAGGAACAGAACCTCTGGAAACATAATATAAGCTGAACTATTCTTACTGCTTGAGGTTTCTGCTTGTTGCTTGCCTAAGCTTCAGAATAGATGGTTTTGTACTCTTTGGCACTTGGGGAACTGGTTCCCTGAAATAATCAAAGGAAGGTATATAAAAATTATACGTTTTTACAGTTACTCTTTTTAAAGAACTATTCAAAACTGTTAACTTAAGGGCACAGTAGCATACTCGGCGCATTCGTCATCTACGAAGACTTCAATGGAGCTTACACGAGTCGGCTGAACTGCTGCCCTCGATCCAACCTTCTGAGGAATCTGTTGTTCAGTGCAATACTATCATCAGTTCATTGATCATTACTGAACCGATAAACCTCGAGACATGTCGCAAAAAGGGACCTTTTGAAGAATTCTAGTGGCTTAGGGGAGAAAAAAAAAACCTTGTGTGATGTCCATTTAGCAGGCCTCATGTTATTTTCTTTGTTCCGATCTGCTTGTGATCCAAGGGTCTGCCAGGCCGTGTTGTTGCTCCTGGTTCTAGCAAGGCCATGACTAGGTAACGAATTCTCATCTGTGTAAACTGCAAGTGGCCTATTGACATCAACTCTGCAAATTTGCAACAGTATCAACACCAGTAAAAAAATTCCAGGTTCATCTAGATTTCTTTATACTGATTGCATGCGTATAACAAGTAATAACCTTTGCAGAGTTTTCACCAGGTGAGAGTTTTCTGCATGCTGGCCTCCTGCCACATCAAAATGCAACATTAGTTCACCCAGCCAGGCACTTGAAATTGATGTTAATCATACCATCACAGCAAACTTACTGATTTCACCACGGTTCAAGACAGTCCCAAAGTTGCGTACTGGATGATCATCAGTAGTTGTGTCATCCTGTTTCAACAGATAATAGAATTCATTCAGTGGGCAGTGGAATATAGATTAAAAATAGGGTACTAAATCAGCCTATGTACACCTCAGGATGTGCCTTCTTTTTGGATGATCTCTGAAGAAATGCCCTGTATGTAGTTTCCAACTTCTCCACAGGCTTTGCTTTCCTGACCAAAAAAAAAAAAGCCAAAGAATTTTACGGTTTAATATGCACCATTCCATCAAACAAAATTCATAAATAGTATGCTTTAGGTATTAAGGTGTAGGTAGAGCAGAAAATTGAGAAATTATATCATATCCCTCCAACAAAAAATAGAGAAGTCAGGAATACATGTTTTAATCTAGAACAGTTCATAAGCTTACTCCACAATCAGTTTAATGCATTTTAGTTATAATACATAGAGCTAAAATGGTGAGTGGGAATATGGAAGACTATACACCTTGCAGTCAAACAAATGCATAAATCGTATGCTTTAGGTATTAAGGTATAGGTAGAGTGGCAAGAAAAGTCATATCCCTCCAAAAACAAATAGAGAAGGTAAAAGTTTTCAGCTACAACGGTTCATAAGCTTACTCCAAATTAGTTTAATGCATTTTAGTTACTATAATTCATAGAACTAAAACAGTAAATGGGGATATGTAAGACTATATGTTTGTTGACTAAAAATCCGAAGAAAACAGACTTCAAATCTAGAACAGGAATTCTTTGTCAAAGGCTATATGGAAATTTAGAAGGAACTTATCTATTATCACTAAAAAATAATCTACTAGCAGACTAGCACTGAAGAAAATCCGCAACCTTTCTCATATCTGAAGAAACTAAACTACCAATCCCCCATAAAATTCTCACCTGGCAATACCAAGGTTAAAAATCTCATTAGCTTTCTTTAGCTTGTTCTTGGACTCCATTACCGACGCATAGGACAAGTAGTAATTGGTATGGCTCTGACCAATCTGGTTGGCCTCCAGGAACCTGAATATCACCTCGGAATCAGCACAATTCCCCGCCTGCATACAGATTAAGATCAAGCCAAACTGGATGTCAAAAGGAAACCAAACCAATCCAATCCAATCCAACCAATCCACCTCAGAACCAATCCTGAATTCATGAAACTCACATATTCCAGCCACACTTTGAGGTAGCGGAGATCGTTCTTGTAGCGGTCGTCGTGCCAGAAGGCACGCACGCACTGCTCGTAGATCACCACCAACCCGGAGCAATCCCCGCCTGTCGGAAACGACTCCTGAACCCATTTGATGCAGCTGCGTGTGGATTAAGCAGACAAAGGCATGCCATGAGCAGCAAGCTTGCGGAAACCGCAGAGAAATCGCCGACATGGCAAATCTTTCGGCTCAACCTACTACTACTAGTATACGAATCAATGAAACAAAGGGGAAATTGCTTACTCTATCCATGGTTGGAGCGGATCCTCGCCGCTGTATTCGTCGATTGCCTCGATCATTTTCCTGAATCAGTAGATCAATCAAACGTAGGACGAAAAAAAAAAGATTACCAGAGACCCGCCCCCAAATCAAGAAATCCAGAGCAAACCAAACCCAAGAACCGAGAGACGCGGGTGACGGGAGCGGCGGCGGTACCTCCGGGCGGCGAGGAGGGCGGCGCGCTGGGCGGGGTCGGCGTGCGCCTTGAGGGCGCGGTTGAGGAGGCCCACGTTGCGGCCGCGCTTCAGCGGCCGCACGTTCTCCTTGAACGTCTCCCACTCCGCGCACGGCGCAGCCGGCGGGGCGTCGCCGCACCCCATCAGCATCAGAGTCTCCTTGTCGAGCGCCACCACCGCCTCTTCCGCCGCCGCCGCCGCCGTCGTCGCCATCGCCGCCGCCATGTGTTCGTCCGGGCGCCGCTCCGGAGCCGACCGTTTGGGAGGAGAGATATTCAAATTGGAAGAGATTTTTGACCGTTGAGCTGAGGCGGATGCTGCTGCTGCTCGGGTTTATATAAGGTGAAAAAGAATTGGGCTTTTCATGAGTTGGGCTTGGAAAGTTTATGTGGGCCTAAAATTGTTGGATCTTGATTGCGTCAGCACTCACACGGCAGAGTCACTATGAAGAAATTCAGTCTCAGCCCTGTTCAGCTTGTCAGCTAATTAGCCGATAAATTCATAGATTAATTCAATATACTGTAGATTATGAAGTTAATTAATTATTTGGTTAGAAAAGGTTATCGAAACAATGCTATTGTAGAAAGATTTTTGAGAAATCATACTGTTAAAATTGTGGCCCGTCAATTCGCCGTGATGAATGAGTTTTGTTTTTTTTATGTTAATGCTGGAGTATATGTGTTTGTGCAAACATTACGCAGAAGTTTGTGATGATCAGTTGATCTTCACATGAACAGATTTAGTTTCTTAAATCACATGAAACACAAATTGTTCAGCTTTTTTCCCCAAGACCAGTTGCGTAGTTCTTAAAAGCATAACTCAAACTTGAGGCAAAGGCGCAAAGCTTCATGCTTGCTGAACTTTCTGTTTTGCCACGATTAAATTTCAGTTAAACTGATAGCACTCTTTCATATTGCACAAAAAGAACTCCAAACAAGTGCTCTAAATGTTCAAACTTCCATAATAAACGATATAATATGTCTTTGCTCTTCCATTACAATTGGTTACATATCTAGCAGGAAGCAGTAACAGGTAACTTAATTGGACTATGAACAGGCAACGAACACGCATAGAATCTCACAGCCTTCTCGGTGGCTGCATCTGTGAAGGATCCACAAGGCCTTCCAACACAACAAGCTGATCCAGCAGCGCAAACTTTTCATCCTCGAGAACGCTGGCTTCCTCTTCAGCCTGGCTCAATTGCTTGTCCAGCTCACCGTTCTCATCCTCCAGCAGCAGGTACTTCTTCCGTAACGCTCTGTATTCATCAGCTGGACCGAACTCTGGCACCGAATCGGGGGTTCCCCAATCAGATTGCGGAGCCGAATGGCGAGGTTCATTCTTGAAGGTTATCTTAGGGGCTTTCTTGGTCTTGCCGGATGTGAGTGGAACCTCCCTCCGCAGCAGCTCAGGTTCAGCTTTTATTTGGCTGGGAGGCAAGGGGCGGGAAACGACCTTTCTCTTGTGCGTCTTCGGGGTTGCGAATTCATCTCGTGGCATACCTCTTGGGTCTTGCATTCCCTCCGGTCACTCCTCCCTGAACAATGCAACTCAAGTGAGAAATTTTACTAAAGCATAATCATAAACATATAATTCATTCTCAAAACAATATAGCAGGCAATTCAATAGGATAGATCAGCACTTAGCACTATGTGGAATACTACTACTTAAGGTGCTCCTCAAGCAAATCTAATTATCAGAGTGTGCAAACACACAAACTATTTTTTTCAGAATGTAAGATATTATCCCCATTCAAGATAATGACTTGGTTCTTGCTCCTGGTCATGGAGTTCGATGCTAGTGCACATTGCGAAAGGGATTCGACTCTAGCGCAAACATATGCCACCATATTATCTTTGCCAACTCCGTAACCCTAATAGCAACAGGGGTGGATCCAACTTGGGACATGGGGGTTGAGTTGAATTGAACCCCCAAACTGTTACTACTAGTTGTATTAAGAGAGGTTTAGGGCTCTCAAATTAAGGAGGAGGAGAAGAGCTCCTTCCAGATCTAGAAGAGAAGCTACTAGGGTTAACGAACGCAAGCAAAATTCCAGACATAAGTAGTCCCGGTGGGGTGGGAGAGAGAGATGAATCAGAAAGAGGATGCGGATGGATACTCACCAGGATCCCCTCCCCTCCCCTGCTCTGCTCGATCGCCGCCCCTCCCCCGCGACTCGTCTTGGCGGCGGCGCGAGGAGCGGAGGAGACAACGAGACGGGGAGAGATTTCTCTTTCTTTTACGCGATACTCGACTACTCCACCTTTATCTCGACATTCTCCTGCCCTCGCCGGAGATCCTGGGCTTCGCCGCCGATCTGGAGTCGCCGCCGCGGTGGGAGATCGAGCCGGAGAGGAGGACGATGACGACGACGAGGAGGAGCTCCAGTTGGTTACGGACTTGCGGTGGTGAGAGGTGGAGTGCTTGATGGGCCGAGAGATCGCGTGGGCCGCACGTAATCCAATCCGCTTCGGATTGGGGCCTCACAAGGCCTTATCGGGCCGGGCCGAGTCAACGGTTGGGCGCTCTTACTCTAGCGATCATTCATTCCACCTAGTAACAGAAAAGGAGAGAACCGAGCAAGCGTCGCCAGGTGAGCGAGCAGCCCGCTCGGGTTCGATCCTGGGATCGCAACTCACGTGTCTCACAGGGGTTTTTCTCCGTTTCCCCGGGGGTATACACGCGTGCACGTTTAGTGGGACTGGACACGTATGTGCGTGTGTCGTGGACTGCACGTTTCCCGTGCACTGAGGCCCAGAGGCCCAATCTCATTCCTAGCGTGAGCGTGTGTTAGGGACAAGTGTGTGCATGTGTCGTGGACTGCACGTTTCCCATATACTGAGGCCCAATCTCATTCCTAGCGTGTGTTAGGGACACGTGTGTGCGTGTGTCGTGGTATGAGTGCAATCTCATTCCTAGCGTGCGTGTGTGCGTGTGTCGTGGTATGAGTGCAATCTCATTTCTAGCGTGTGTATGCGTTCTGAGTTGTACCCTTCTAAAAAAATAAAAAAAGTAACAGAAAGGGACAAAACGGCAAACCTCATGCTTCCTGCTGGAGTAATTTTGTTTTTTCTTTTTTGCTCCTACTGGAGTAATTTTGTTTTGGTTTTTTGCGATGAAACACGGTTTTTGCTTGGGTTTTCAAAGGGGTGGATGAATATATCTACTCAGTAATGAATGAAACGTATGGCTATATGAAGATACAGGCTCAAGAATTTATGGCTAACATCAAACTGTTGAGGAATAAAATAGTGCATTTATATAGTGTTTGATTTAATTTAATTAATATGCCTTCTTGCAAAATGACACAAATGCCCTGTAGCCTGTACTATTGGTCTATTGCATTGATATTTTTTTAAGCATAGAGCTATATTTTTCTTTGTTTTAGTAACATGATTGAAATTCAAATAAAGTTGTTTTTTTACCAAAATTCAATAGAGTTATATGATTGATAATTGATCACCAAAAGGTAAGACTACGCATGAAAAGAACTATATAACATGGTGTTCTCTCCACAAAAGGGCAACCATATTTGTCCTCTATGATGGTTTTCGACCATTGCTTTCCAATATAGTATTCGACAAAATTATAAAAATTAAAAAAATAGACGTACAAGGATGCGCCCCAACATCTAATTAAATGATACGCATCGATCCACGCCGTAAACTTTTATATGCGGCCCAATATAGGTTACACTGGCCCAGTACTTAGATCAGTCGGTTCTGTGTGCGCCTATATATATGCATGTGATCTAAAGCATTTGCCGCATACGGAAGACTCGAACGCATAACTAGTCTACTATGTTGCCAACGCCACCAACCTTGATGGTGGCTCCTCTCTCTTCTTTGGTGTACTCCTCATCGTGTCGCACAAGAGAAGAGGGCTAATCCCCCTAAGCGCGTCTTGTTATAGCGGATAGATTCATGAGATATCCCGTGGTGGTGGTGGCGGCGGCGGTGGTACTGGACCGATCCCCATGGGACGAAAAGTCTCTTCTAATCATTATATAATCCTGGCTTACTACTCGGCGCAACGCTTATGAGGTATGTTTTTTACAGGTTAGGGGTGTCTGTTTGTTGAATTTTGTCTTCCCTAGAAAACTTTGCCGAATGGCAACATCTCATCTGATTCCATATTATCGGGTTGAGGATGGTGATTTAAGAGATCCTGCAGTTGGTTCCGTGTGTCGTATATGTTTATCTATACTTCTAAGTTTCAACATATTTTTTTGTATGGTTTAATTTTAATTCTTTGTGATCACAGGAAGATGCAAGGTACACATATGTGTTCAGTTCAGTGGTGAGTGGTTTCCTTCATCTATGATTTGATTTTGATGGCCCTTGTGGTTTGTGTGGGTTGTGCCATGGCTAGTTTTGACAATTAACCCTGGTGGTACCTCTCTTAATCTCTTTGCCTAGTGATTAGGGTCACATTGATGAATTCCAGTACAAAAATGGATACATAAAAATCGAGAAACACACGGAGAGAGAGAGAGAGAGAGAGAGAGAGAGGCTACCCCTCCCTCCTGCATCTCGTGCCATCCGTCTATAGAAACAATCGCATTATGCTAAAACGCTCGCGTCCGTAGTGTGTGTAAACCCAGCCGCCAGCCACTGTCCTCCCGTGTTTATCATTTCATTTCCCTTTCAATCCCCCCCTCCTCCCCCAATCTCATCAAGAAGAAGAAAAAAAAATATGGAGCAATCTTGAATCGAATCTGGCACAGATCCTCACTCTCCCGATCGATCGATTCTCCGACGAGCAAGCAGTGGTAACCGAAGGTATGTGTTTGTAGTCGCTTGGCAGCAAGATCGAGCAATGGTTTGTCCGGCATTGCTTGTTCTTGTCTTCGTCTTCGTCTTCGTCTCCGGCGATGCGGTGTTGATTTGGAGCTGCATTTTTTTTCGTTTTGGAGGTCGGTAATGGCGGCGGCGGCGGCGGACGCGGCGATGGCTGCTGGGTTGGCGGAGCGGGAGCCGGCGTGGCTGCGGTCGCTGCTCGGCGCGCGGTTCTTCGAGGCGTGCGCGGCGCACCGCGGCATGAGCAGGAACGAGTGCAACCAGTACTGCCTCACCTGCGCCGCGGCCGCCGACGACGCCGGCGGCGCGGCCGCCGTGGGGTGCCAGTGGTGCGTGGTGGCGGCGCACGGCGGCGGCGCGGGGCGGGATCGCGGCCACCGCCACCGGGTGGTCCAGGTGCGGAGGTCGTCGTACCACAACGTGGTGCGCGTGTCGGAGCTGGAGCGCACGCTGGACCTGACGCGGGTGCAGACCTACGTCATCAACCGCGACAGGGTCGTCTTCCTCAACGAGCGCCCGCAGGCGCCGCGCAACGGCCGGTGCGCCGCCGCCGCCGCCGTGGCGTGCGCCGCCTGCGAGGCGTGCGGCCGCGGCCTCCTCGACGTCGCCTTCCGCTTCTGCTCCCTCGGCTGCAAGGTCAGAGCTCCGGCCGCCGGCCGCCGGCCACGCTCCTTTCCTTTTCCGGCCGTCTCCGCCACCGTCTTTGCCGTTTTTGGGCCTCGTCCGAGGAGACGCGTCTCGTATCATCAGTGGGTTTTGCGCTTCATCTGGACCGTTGGATTGGGAACCAACGGCCCAGATAGATCTAGACGTGAGGAAGAAATGGGAACGTCCGTATGCTGGGCCGGTCAGTCTTGCATGGGCCTACTCAGCCCAATTAGGAAATTAGCAGCTCTCTCTTTTTTTTTTTGGGAAAAATTCAAATCTCCCTTTTCAATTTACTTCCACGCAGTATGCTCCCTATATAGAGCATCACCAACAGTCTATACCTATCTGATTCCCAAAATTGATTTTAAAGGAATTTAGTTCAAAAAACAGCTCCAACAGATCTCTTACTCTCCTACGAGTTTGTTTTGGAGTTCCCTTTTCCCGATTTCTCGCTCCGTTTATATACAGGCGCGCGGTCTCGTGAAAGTCGCTCCCAATCTCACACTCCCGCCTCTCTCCTACCGTTCCAGCGTGTGAGAGATAGCGATCTTTCTGCACGTGGAAAAAAACAGAATTTTCTGTTCGTAGTTTCAGAAGGGTCCACTTTTAAGTTTTTTCACTTCCTATTTTTATTTTAGGAAACCCAAAAATAATTTTTTGGGGAGATTATAGATAATCTGTTGGTGATGTTCTAAACAATTCTCTTTAAGTTTTCTCACCTCTGTCTAGTTTACGTTGATTCTTCGTCATGTTTAGAGATTTCTCACATCCTGTGAATCTTGAGCATGGTGAGCGAAGTTTCTCAATGTCTTCCTTAAAAAAAAGTTTCTCAATGTCTTCTCTTATTGGGAATGGGATTTAATATACCTTTTTCATATATTATGTGATCGATTGTCATTTGTCGTGTTTTATCGTCACACAAGCTGTTTAATTTAAACATGCATGAAAAAGTGGAAGGTGGAGGGAGACCGAGGGACACACACCTTTGGTGGCAAAGAACAACTTAACATACCACAATGGTCAATGAAAGCCCACGGAGTGTGGAGAAAGTGTTGATGGAGGTTGAAAGAGAAAAATGAACTTGTAGGGAGTATTTAATTTTGTACAAAATTAAATTGTAGGGGTGTAGGGGTATTTAGATTTTCCTCTCTCTTTTTTCCATTTTTCATTCAGGCATACTCAACAAAACCATGAAGCTAGTGCTAATCAATTCAACACACCATCGAACTCATATCTTTCTCTACTCTCTAGTGAAAGAGATTTCTTCCATCAAATGAAAGCATCTCCAACATTGAAACTCGAATTTCCATATACTTTTCTGATTATCAACACACCATCGAAGTTGCGTTTAGCCGTCGTAGTAGTTTCCTAGCTGAAGTTTTTGTTTTGCTTTTTTTTTGTCCTTCCCCTACATAGGCATACCTGGCCGATTGTATTGTATAAGAAAAACTCTTTTTTCTTCTATTGACGTGCAATTCATTTATGCGTTCATGAAAAAAGATTATTAATTCTGATCACTTCTGATTAACTAACTGAATCACCACTCTAATCCATACTACTGAATAATCTTATCTATCTCCTGTTGATGTCAGCTGAAATGCATGGAATCGGATCCTACCCTGACATTCACCATCGATCCCAACAACATCCCAGAGCCACAGATTTCAGGGCCACAGGAAGACGAGGAAGAAGACGACGACGAAGAAGACGAGCCGTTCTACCCAACCAAGGCGAACGCTGCTCAGAGCAAGGCCGCGGGCGGCGGCGGCTGCCGGCCGCCGCCGCCGCCGTCCGCGTCGTCGTCGCGACCTAGGAGAGGAGGACGCCGGGTGGCTAGAGGCGACAAGGAAGAGGATCAGGAGGCCGCCGCCAACATCCTCGCCTTCGCCGCCGCCGCGGCGCGGTCGGTGCCGGCCGCCTCCGCCGCCGACCCCAACAGCTACCGGCGGCGCGCTAGGAAGGGCGCGCACCGCGCGCCGGAGCGGTCGCCGTTCTTCTGATGACGATGGCGGTGGCGGAGGAGATGCTCGCCGTCGTCGTCGTCGTCGTCGTCGTTGCATGCTGGTGGTGGTGGTAGCTGCATGCGAGGTCTGAATCACCCGATTTTTATTTTAATTTTTTTTACAGAGAATGGGAACTTGGTTGGTTAAATTTTCTGTGGTGAAATTCGCTTGCATGCATGTATGCTAGCTACATTTTGATTAATGGTGGGTAAGAATCTAGACATTTTGATGACATTTATCCTCGAGAATTTGAATTTCCCGTGTGACTGTGCTATGTTATGTATATCTTAGAGCGGAATTGTATTTGTTGCACAACTCTGTTTTTGTCTCTACATTAAAAGTACATGTGTTCCATATTCATTTGTAGAAACCAAAAACACTAAACCGTTTTGGTTGAAGGGGGAATAGTGTTAGTATTTTTTTTCCCCAAAATTTGCTAAATCTATTATGTAGTAATATAATGGATAGATACGATGATGTGATAGTTCTGTCTCGTGGGGATAATTCAAAATACTTCTTTTTTTTAAGATAACGGCTCTAGGTATGTTGTGCAGTGTAGTCAAATTTCTTGATTTCCTATATGCATATAATTTTTTTTCTGCTTGATTGCATGCTATAGACCTATAGTATTAGTTGGGCAAAAGAAAGAATCTATTCTTCCTAATTAAGCAGCTAGCTACAAGCCACCATCTACCTTTTGTTTCCTAAGAAAAAACAACACAAGATTGTGCCTTTTATTAAATACTCCCTCTGGTTCTATAATAATTGACGTTTTGGATAAGGTTGAGGTTAAACTTTTATAACTTTGACCATCAATAACTTTAAAAATATCTAATTTAAAGAAACTAGAAAAACATATATAGATTTGTCTTTCAAAACACTATAATAAAAGTAAACATGCATTTATTTATTGTATATATTACTAGCAAAAATGCCCGTGCGTTGCAACGGGTAAAATTTTTTATTGATAATATATGTTTTTCATGCATAATCATGTCAATGACAATGTTTCTATTTTAATGAGCGGCTTTTTTTATAAACATTGTTTTTTTTTCTTGCGCGATTTTCTCAATCCATTTTTCAGAAATGGCGCATTTCTTTATAACAAATTTTTCCTAGCATGTTTTATTTTTGCTTATTTTACTGACAAAGAAAACCATATTTTTCTCCCTTTTATGCTTTTCTTTTCTCGTATGTTTTTTTGCCTATTTTCTCGCACGTTTTTTTTCTTGTTATTTTCGAATGTTCTTTTTTACTTTTTTTTCCAATACAGTAGAATGTATGACGAAATAAAGCCATGTAGTAGATGGCAAAAAATTGATGGATCCTATCCGACTCAAGTGTCTATCAATTTAGCTTTTTTCTAACAGTTTTTTCAGAGCGATTTATTTTTTAGTAGACGGTGTTTTTTTCGCGCGGTTTTTTAAAACCAAACTTTTAGAAATGGCACGTTTTTTCTAGCAGTTTTTTTTCCTCGCATGTTGTTTTTAAAATATTTTTACCGATGATGGAAATAATTTTTCTCGCGCATTTTTTTATTGAAGATGGAAGACCTTTTTAGCGTGTTTTTTACGCTTTTTTTCTGACTTTTGCCTCACGGGTTTTTTGAACCGTTTTTATTTTCTCATTCATTTTTTCTTTTTAAATAGTTCGATTAGATTAGAGATAGAGAAGAGATATATACTGGTTAGAACTCGGATTTTGTTTCACCCTTTCCATTTTTTTCTTGTGTGTATTTTTTATTTTATACGAACCATTTTTTTCGCCACTTTCTTAGGAAATCGGACGAACTTTTTTTAGATGTTTTTTCATTTTTTTTTCGTTTTTAAAGGAATTGTATCTAGCTTTTTTTCACCACTTTTTTTTTTTGCCTTTTCTATGAATCAATTTTTTTTCCATTCGGATCTACAGTTTTTTTCGCCACTTAGGGGAAAAATACTTTTATTCTTGTTGTTTTTCTTTATTTTCTTTTTTTAAGGCTTTCCTTTTTCTTTTTTCTTTTTTTTTGAGAAACACAGTACGTACGCAGGCGCTCACAACGTGCGCACACTCACCCCTATGAACGCACACACGCACACCCTACCGCTATGAGCACATCTGAAAGACTGAGCCTTTTTCTTTTTATGCACCTTTCTGCCTTTGTTATCTCTCTTTTATTATTTTTTTAATAAAAATGACCTCAAGTACCTTATTGCAAGATATTAGGGACTCAAATGTAAATATAAAAATTACAGGGACTCAAATGCAAAAAGTACAAACCCAAAAATTAAAATCATATAAAAATGGAATGATCTCGACTTGTAGGTTTCATTTTTGCAAACAGATCTTCAATCCGGCACATCAATTTTTTCACCAATCTAGAGTCGAACTTTTTTTTTGGTTTATGAGAGGGAATCGGATATAGGAGTCGGACTTTTTATTTTATTTTTTTCGCTAATCAGCCCAAACGAAAACGGATGGGAGTTTGTTTCCTATTTTTGTGGAATCGGACAAATTTTTTTCTTTTACCGCGTCGATGGAATTTTTTTTTGATCGGATAACTTTTGGTTTTTTTTCCCTTTTTTCTGATCGGACTTCTGGTTTTTTTGGTTTTTTTTGCCCTTTTTTTTTGGATCGGACTTCCTTTTTTTTGTCCCTTTTTTTATGGATAACTTTGGTTTTTTTTTTGCCTTTTTTCTGGATCGGACTTCTTTTTTTCGCACTTTTTTTTTGCCCGGTTTTTTTATCGGATAAACCTGGTTTTTTCCATCCGTTTTTTTTGTTTTTTTTCGCCCTTATTTTCTGGACCGGACTTCTTTTTTTTGTCCGGTTTATTTATCGGACAAACCTGGTTTTTTCTGCCCGGTTTTCACCCGGTTTTTTTGACGGACGATGGAGGTACCTCTTATTTTTTAAGTAGTAGAGATAATAGAAAAATAAGGTCAAAGATATATCTTGTAGAGCGTGTCATTGTCCAAAGCGTTAATTAAAATGAAACCGAAGGGAGTAGAGCAGAAGAAAAGCCACCTTCTACTTAGATACACACTCTTCTATTTGAAAATATACACAAGCATTTCTAGTTATGTACCTGTATTTTATAACGGAGAGAATAGTAGGGCTTGCTTCATGCCGAAGAATTTATTGAATTCTAGACGATGACACAATTGATTTGGACAGTGCTACCAAATTCCCTGGGAGGCACGTCCGCACGTACGCATGCAGTAGCATATGCCCACTTGCCCAGGCTGAAATATACACCAGATTAATTATCAGTATTTGTTCGCTGTCACAGTTTGCAACACGGAATATTAGGCGCATAATATTTTATTAGGCAAAACGTTTGATTAAGATTGCTGTAACTATGGTAAACACCTTTGATTAAGAGGATGTTTGGTTGATGCCTAACCTTGATATAACTAAGTTTAGACTAGCTGTGGCATGGTGGAATAAGCGTGGTTTAGAAATAATTTGTCACAAGTACGGTATGCTTAGCTCTAAATTTGAGAACATGACGTGTGGATTCCAAAGTTAAGAAAGTGTGGTATAATATATACAATTGCGGCAGCGAAACAAATACATGCCTAAAAAATTGTGGCATGGCTAAAGTTTGGCGTGGCAAAGTGTGGCAACCAACTAAACAACCCCTAAGATTGTTGTAACTATGGTAAACCACTCCTCAATAGTTCTGCTTTGTAGTGATATTTTTTCCATTAAGAAGTCAAGCAGTTAAGTTTGTCCCTAGATAAGCTCGGTAAGTAGCACTTGTTTGACCATGTTTACTTACTTGAATATATAGAAAGGCAGCTATTTCAGTCAGCAACGAAAAAGATACGCATGATGTTGCAGCATTACTCGATCGGTCTCCATCACTAACTGATATGATCATGACTGGATGACCGGCCAAGTAATCAGGTTATTAATTAATTACAGTAGCTGTTTAGGTTCTGATCAGCCAGCTGAAACTAAAAGGTCAATTTCCTGCATGCATGATCGGTAATCAGTACTGTACACTATAGTGGATTAGTCCAAAAGGCCGGCGCTCTGGATAGAACTTAGTTTGATCTTTTCCAAGATAGGAGTAATTCTAGCTAAAAGAAAAAGATCTTTTCCAGGATGTGATTTGTCTGTAGAACTGTATAACAAGCTGCATGCGAATGTACTGTGTCGGAGGGGCGACGGCAACGAATTGAAAGCTAGGATTACGAGGAAGTAGGTACGAGGAAGAAACCCAAAAAAAAAAAAAAATCGCGAACACGGAACCCAGAATAATCTTTCGTGTAGGAGCGTTATTTAGAGCTTACCCCTCCGTAAAAAAAAAAGATAAAATCATACCTACAATCCTACACACATGTGTGTCCAAGTTCGATCGTAGGTATGAATTTGTTTTTTTTTTACGGAGCAGTAGCTTGGATAATTCTTTTCTCCACGAACAAGATTCGGATTATATTGTAGGGGATTGGAAGAATTAGTTTCGTGCTAAAGTTGGAACACCCTTGAGTGACAACAAGCACGCTCAAGGAAGGTACATATGGTTCTCTTGACATTTAAAACTTCGAGTCTCTTGATAAATCTATTGAGATATGAAATTAAGAGAATGGTATCCTTTTCAGAGTATATATCTTCCTATTATGGAAGATTTTAAGGAGGTACAACTACTCTAAAAAGATCTAATTCCTTTTAGCAATTAAGACCGTGAAACAGAATTAGAACTACCTGACTTGTACTCCCTCCGTTTCAGGTTATAAAACGTTTTGACTTTGATCAAAGTCAAATTGCTTTAAGTATAATTAAATTTATAGAAAAAAGTAGTAACATTTTCAACCCAAGACAAATTTACTATAAAAATATATTTAATTATTGATTTGATGAAACTAATTTAGTATTATAAATATTATTATATTTGGCTATAAATTTAGTCAAATTTGAAACAATTTGACTTTAACCAAAGTTAAAATATCTTATAACCTGAAATGGAGAGAGTAATACTGAAACTAACTAATAAACTAATAGCTTACTCTTAAGAAAAAAGCTAATAGTAGTTACTCTTTCGTTTAAAAATATAGCAACCTAATAAGACATACGTCTTATGTCCCAAATAAATCAATCCTATGAATAAACATGAACACGCGATTTATTTTGATAGTACAAAGGAAGTATCCATATATATGTAGGTCAGTGCAGAAGGTTCTAATGTTGAAAACCTAATTTCTAATTTCGTCCGGGCTTTTCAAAATTAGCGAACGGACGAGGCAAGAACGCGGCAGCGAACGCGACACGGTAGAACAAGTTCCGAGTTCCGACGCGACGCGCCGTTGGCGCAGGAAAAGTCCGGTCACCCCACCCCACTCTCTCGCTTGGGCCGCCCGCAACAGCAAACCAGCCTAGCGCCCGCGCTGACGCCCGCAGGGCTGCATCGCCAGTCGCCACGCGGGACGGACAGAGTCACTGCCAGGTGGGCCCCCAGTAGAGGCGGGGAGCGGCCCCGCGAGCTACTGGCAGGTGGGCCCCGCCGTTACTTCACTAGAAGGCGGGTTCGCATTCTGTGGGAGGGGAGCGTCCGAGCGTGTGGTCGCCGCTGCTGCTGCTGCCGTCTTCGTATGTTTTTTTTTTTTTTTAGCCGCGGAATCGTCAGAGCTCAGGCGCTCACACCGTCACACCTGACCTGACACAAACGAGTCCACGGCTTTTGTGTTGACTTGTCTCACGTTTTTTTGCCTTCTGGTCCCTTCACAAGTGCCATTTTGTGGAGCCAGACACCAAACAAGAAGGTCAAACTGCTGGTGCTTTTCTTTCCTCAATTGCTTCTAGAAGCAGTGGGGCTGTCCCGTACGGCTCAGATATGGCTGCCAAGCAACGCGCATCTGCGATATCGAATCAGTGAAAATTGTCTACAGTAATATAGCTACAGTAGTCGTGGCTGATAGGTAGAACCGGACCCATATGTTAGCGGCTTCTACCGCAGCTGCAGTACTGCATAGGATCCATGTCCGTATCGAACACATGATAGTAGTAGCTGTGACACTGTAGCTAATACAGGCAGTCGAGCAGCCGTGTAGTAGTGTTGGAGTACATTAACTAATAGCAAGTTAAGAAGATGTTCATCTTGTTATCAAAATTAATCCTACCAAGTTTTGGTTTCTATCCAAATTTGACAAGGTAACAATCTAACATTGATAAATTAATTTATCTCCATTACCAAATTCTGGTAATTTTAGAATCTTCCTCTCACGCAAATTTGGCAATGATAACAAACCAAACTTAATTTACACCTTTCAACCTTAACAAATATTAACAATGCCAAAATTCAGCATTACCAAAATTTAAATTTGGTGCGGTTGATTTAGACATCAAAGTGAAGAACCCTAAGTGTATAGTGCTCTATATTAATAGTTACGTACTTTTTCCATCTCAAAATAACTTTTTTTAGTCTCGTTTGTTTAAAACAAGGTAAAAGAAAAAAAATCACATGTAAAGTATATTGAAGATAATCTGATTTGCAGATAAGGGTAGATATGAGATAAATGTGAACATATTTTTAAGAAAAGTTAGAGTTCAAAAAACGAAGTTATTTTAGAGAGTATGGACTAGTAATCCATCACTAATCACTCTTAAAAAATATCGTCTCGTTCCATGAGCAGGGCTATTAGTCTCATAACTTACATCTACATCATCCAGTCGACTAACCACAATACTTGACCAAAAAAGTAAAGAAAATTATTTTCTCCATAATTTCCCAAGAATCAAGGGGCTTAAACGAAACAAACTCATCACTTTCCCCATTTCGCACTCTATATATACACCATCCATCCATTTTCAGTCTACGCATCCAACCTCCGAACTAGCAATAGAAAATTCCAACATTTTCGCCAACATTAATTCCCATGGGATTGAAGCTTTCTTGCATCAGCCGGCGACGCGGCTCGCCGGTGCCGGCGCCGGCCAGGGTCATCGCCGCCGACGGCTCGCTCAAGGAGCTCCATGCGGCCGCCTCTCCCGCCGTCGCCGACGTGCTCCGCGGCGAGGGCGAGTCCTTCTTCGTGTGCAACTCCGACACGCTCTACTTCAACGAGCAGCCGCCGGCGATGGCGCCGGGGGAGGCGCTCCGGCCGGGGCAGATATACTTCGTGCTCCCGGCGGCGATGCTCGGGCAGCCGCTGTCCACCGCCGACATGGCCGCGCTGGCGGTGCGCGCGAGCGCCGCGCTCGCTGCCGTCAAGGCGCCGCGCCGCCGAGGGGCTCGCCGCGGCGGCGACAGGAAGATGAAGACGGTGCGCGTCACGCCGCTGCGGGACGAGGGCCTCGACGGCGGCGACGTCCTGCTCCACGAGAAGCTCAACGAGCGGACTCTGGGTGAGTTCCCGGCGTCGTGGAGCCCGCCGAAGAGCGGCGGCGAGAAGCTCGCCGCGGCGGCGCGGTCGCGGTTGAAGCGCGTGCTGAGCATCATCCAAGAGGATGCATAAATATTCAATTTTTTCCACTTCTTTTTTGGGGAAACAATTTTTTTTCAGAAGCTCGAAGCCCAATACATGCTTAAAGCTTTAATTAATACTTGCTCTGTTTCAGAATGTTTCAGAATGTTTGACACCGTTAGACTTTTTATTACGTGTTTGACCATTCGTCTTATTAAAAAAATTTAAGTAATTATTTATTCTTTTCATATCATTTGATTCATTGTTAAATATATTTTCATGTACATATATAGTTTTACATATTTTACAAATTATTTTGAATAAGACAAACGGTCAAACATGTGCTAAAAAGTCAACGGTGTCAAACATTTTGAAACGGATGGAGTATGTTTAATTAGTAGATTTAGAAAGAAAAGAATACTGGGGAAAAAGATTCATGGATGAATCACCCTCTTGTATATACGACTTCAATCTGTAGTTGCAAAACTACAAAAATGTAAAAAAAAAGTTGATCTTTGTACAATTTTTCCTGATGTACATTTCCCAGACTCTGATTTTCTGCTGGTTACATAGAAAGATGGAGAATTAAGGAATTAATTCAGGCTGTGTAGAACAGAAGCTACATGGTGCCAGTTAGTGTCATTTTCCTCGCGATCACAGTCGAACTTTGTATTATCCTGACATCATTTGCAATAATTGTGAAATAAGTGAACCCCTTGATAATCGAAATGTTCTTACCAAATTTCCAGTCTGCCTTTTACTCCAATCCACTCCACTCGTTAGACAATTCCCAACCCAGAAACTATTAATTAGTTTTCATATTTGCCATATCATATAGATATTATACATAGAAACTATATATATATAATGGATGGTTTCTTAAAATAAAATTCTCATCCAATCATCTCCCTTCTCTCTTCTTTTATCCACATATTCTCTTGTTTTCATTCTTTATACTTGTGTAGAGATGGTTTCTTGCATAAGAAATGGTTTCTTCACCTCTTTATCTCTCTCATTAAAATATTATGGGGCGGAGGGAGTAACTACCTGTTCTAAAATATACGCAAGCATTTCTAGTTATATGTTTGGACAAGTGTATTTTGAAACTGAGAGAATATTATGGCTTGCTTCATGCCGAAGAATTGATTGAATTCTAGACGATGACAATTGATTTGGACAGTGCTACCAAATTCCCCACTTGTCAGGCTGAAATATACACTAGATTAATTATCAGTATGTTTTCGTTGTCACAGTATGCAGCACGGAATATTAGGCGTATCATATTTTATTAGGCAAACGTTTGATTAAGATTGCTGTAACTATGGTAAACAAATTTGATTAAGATTTTTGTAACTATGGTAAACCATTCCTCAATACTCCTACTTTGTAGGGACAATTTTTCCATTAAGAAGTCAAGCAGTTAATTTGTCCCTAGATAAGCTCGGGAAGTAGCACTTGTTTGACTGTGTACTTGAATAGAAAGGCAGCTATTTCAGTCAGCGACGAAAAAGATACGCAGGATGTTGCAGCATTACTCGATCGGTCTCCATCACTAACTGATATGATCATGACTGATCGACCGGCCGGCCAAGTAATCAGGTTATTGATTAGTACTACAGTACTATACTCACTCACAACAAGGTCAATTTCCTGCATGATCGGTAATCAGTACTGTACACTATAGTGGATTAGTCCAAAAGGCCGGCGCTCTGGATAGAACTTAGTTTGATCTTTTCCAAGATAGGAGTAATTCTAGCTAAAAGAAAAAGATATTTTACAAGATGTGATTTGTCTGTAGAACTGTATAACAAGCTGCATCCGAATGTGTGTCGGAGGGGCGAAGGCAACGAGTTGAAAGCTACTCCCTCCGTCAAAAACCAACCTCTGAGAAGATATGATCCCTCCTAATACAATGAATATGGATAAAAGGCAGATTCGTTGTACTGGAAGGAGATCTCTCCTATGTTGGCTTTTTTTTGGACGGAGGGAATAGGAATATAGGCGATGGAGACGTAAGTAGGTACAATGAAGAAACCTATAAAATAAAATAAAATTTCGCGAATATGAAACCTAGAATAATCTTTCATGTAAGAGCAGTAGAGCACTTAAATAGAGCTTAGTTTCGATAGTTCTTTTCTCCACGAACATGATTCGGATTATATTGAAGGGTTTGGAAGAATTAGTTTCACGGTAAAGTTGGAACACCCTTAAGTGACAACAAGCAAGTTCAAAGAATGTCTGTTCCTCTTACGTATGTTGAAAAATCTGAACCTCTTGATAATGATCTATTGAGATGTGGAATTGATAGATTGCCAATCCTTCAGAACATATACAGTGTCCTATTATGAAATATTTTAAGGAGGTACAACTACCCAAAATATCTAATTCCCTTGAGCAATTAAGATTGTGAAACAAAAGCAGAACTACCATACTTCTAATACTCAAATTAAATACTAACTACTAGTAGTAATAGCTAGCTTGCTCTTAGAAAAAAAACAGTTATTACTCATTCATTCCAAAATATAACAAGGACGTACATATATGGGGTCAGTGGAGAAAGTACCCAATTTTGAACATCTAATTTCGTCCCAAGTTTGAACATCTAATTTTGAACGGACGAGGCAGGCAGGAACGAACAACGAAGTAGCGAGCGCACGCGCTGTACGGACGGGAAGGCAGAGAGGATCGCGTCGCTGACAGGTGGGCCCCAGTAGGGAGGCGGCGAACAACTGACAGGTGGGCCTCGCGCGCCGTGCCGAATCCCCCCACACACCACTGGGTTCGGATTCGCATTCTGTGGGAGGGGAGCGTGTGGCCGCTGCTGCTGGGCGCTGCCGTCTTCAGGTTTGTTGCCCCGCGGAATCGTCCGTCAGCGCTCACACCTGACGCCACTCGATCGGTGGCGGTTTCTGTTGACCTGTATCCCCTTTTTTTTTTTTTGCCTACTGGTCCCTTCACAAGTGACATTTTTTTTTTTTGCCTGCTGGTGCTGGACTGGACCGGATGTGCTTTTTCTCAATTGCTTCTGGAGTAGAACCAGTTGGGCAGTTCCGTAGGACTAGTGCTCAGTTCTTTTTTTTAAAAAAAATAAATTACACAGTACAACAACGCAGTTGGGAACTAATCTCTCACTTGCAAAACAACGTAACTCACGTATATGATTAATTAAATACGGAGTATTATCTATTTTATTTTTAAAAATAGATTAATATGGTTTTTAAAGCAACTTTCGTATATATATTTTTTAAAAAAAATTATTTAGCGGTTTGAAAAATGTGTGAAAAAGAGTAAGCTGAAGTTGGAAAAGTGAACAAACTAACCCAGCCTCATATGGATGCCTAGCAACAAGCATCTACAGGGTCGAACACATTACTAGCTATGATACCGTGACAGGCAGACGAACCACCCTGTAGAAGGATCAACATCCTTTGCCGTCACTGCACCGTGCCTTTGTCACTGACATGTGGGTCCGATGTGTCGTCGGGCCCATACGTCAGTGATAAAGGCACGGTGCAGTCGACTGCAAAGGATCTCAATGCCCTGTGGTAGTGTATAGTACTATATAGTTTGTTTCTATTCTTTACCGGCGTTATCTTTTGATGATGAAAGTATATACTCCCTCAGTACCTAAATATTTGACGTTGTTGATTTTTTTAAACATATTTGACCATTTGTTTTATTCAAAAACTTTTATGAAATATGTAAAATTATATGTATACATAAAAATATATTTAACAATGAATCAAATGATAGAAAAAGAATTAATAATTACTTTTTTTTAATAAGACAAATGATCAAACATGTTTAAAACAGTCAACAGCGTCAAACATTTAGGGACGGAGGGAGTATAACTATAGTATACTCCTTCCATCGCAGGATAACATTTTTACTCTTGTGTGTTTTAAACAAGATAAAATTTTAAAAAGAATCAAAGTGCTTATCATTAATAAGAAAGTAGTACTGGTAAAGCAAGTATATAAGGTGCCCGGCCGTAAAGTATATTGAAGGTAATCTGATTTGTGGATCGATAATAAGTAGAAGATAAATGTGAATTTATTTTGGGAGAAAAAGTAGAGTTAAAATAAAGTTATTTTAGAGAGTATGGACTAGTAATCCATCACTAATCACTATATCATTGGGCTAGTTTAGGTTGATGCTAATTTTTTCTGCTACTAAAATTTTTGGTAACTTCAATAGTGTCAAATGCATGTTTGGTTTTGATACCAAATTTTATCTATAATAGTTCAAATTCAGTAGTTCTATCTATTTAGGGTAAAAATTGTTTCAATCCAAACAAGCTCATCTTGTTCCGTGAGCGGGTCTATCTATTAGAGCATCCGACAAATATAGCAGATATCTTAATTTAATTTATACTGGTTTCCAAGTTGTAATTAAGAATTATTCATATCAACACTCATGATAGTAGCATACTCCCTTCGTCTCATAATATAAAGAATTTTGAGTTTTTGCTTGCATTGTTTGATCACTCGTCTTATTCAAAAAATTTTGGAATTATTATTTATTTTTTTGTGACTTACTTTATTATCCAAAGTAATTTAAGCACAACTTTTCGTTTTTTATATTTGCACAAGTTTTTTGAATAAGACGAGGGGTCAAACAATGCAAACAAAAACTCAAAATCCCTTATATTATGGGACGGAGGGAGTAACTTATTATATTCAGTTATCTCATAACCTTACTTACATCTGCATCATTCAGTCTACTAACCACAATACTTGACCAAAAAGGCAAAAAGTAAGAAATTATGTTTTTTTTAAAAAAAGTAAGAAACTTATTTTGTTCATATAATTTCCCAAGAGGAAAGGGGCTTAAACGAAACAAACTCATCACTTCCCCCATTTCGCACTCTATATATACACCATCCATTTTCAGTCTACGCATCCAACCTCCAAACCAGCAATAGAAAATTCCAACATTTTCGCCAAGATTTCATGGGATTGAAGCTTTCCTGCATCAGCTGCCGGCGACGCTCGTCGTCGCACCAGCCGGCGCCGGCGCCGGCCAGGGTCATCACCGCCGACGGCTCACTCAAGGAGCTGGCCGTCTCTTCCGCCGTCGCCGACGTGCTCCGCGGCGAGGGCGAGGGCCGGTCCTTCTTCGTGTGCAACTCCGACGCGCTCTACTTCAACGAGCAGCCGCCGGCGCTGGCGCCGGGGGAGGCGCTCCGGCCGGGGCAGATTTACTTCGTTCTCCCGGCGGCGATGCTCGGGCAGCCGCTATCCACCGCCGACATGGCCGCGCTGGCGGTGCGCGCGAGCGCCGCGCTCGCGGCCGCGGCCGCCAAGGCGCCGCGACGCCGAGGGGTTCGCCGCGGCGGCGGCGACAGGAAGAGGAAGACGGTGCGCGTCACGCCGCTGCGGGACGAGCGGCTCGACGGCGGCGACGTCCTGCTCCACGAGAAGCTCAACGAGCGGACGCTGGGTGAGTTCCCGGCGTCGTGGAGCCCGCCGAAGAGCGGCGGCGAGAAGCTCGCCGCGGCGGCGCGTTCGCGGCTGAAGCGCGTGCTGAGCATCATCCAAGAGGACGCCGAGTGAAGATAGATGAAGATTCAGCTTTTTGTCCCCCTTCTTTTTAGGGGAAACAATTTTTTCGTATTTTTTTTCAGAAGCTTAGAGCTTAACACAAGTTTAAAGCTTTAATTAATTTGTTCAATACTAGACTAGATTTAGAAGGGAAAAAAATACCCGGGGAGAAGAGATCCATGCATGATCACCCCTTGTAAATACTACTTCAATCTGTAGATACAATCATACAAACCTACAAGAATATATAAAAGTTGATTTTGTATTTTTATGTACATTTCCCAGCTGCTATAGATTGCAGTTAATGGAAACTTTCAATCTCCTGACGCACTGCAATAATCGTGCAATCAGTAAAACACTGACGATCGAAATGCTGCTACTAACTTTTCAGTCTACCCAATAAGAAACTCAAACTTCAATTCCACTGCAAAAAGGGGATTAAACAGGGTAATTAACACCTACTGACATGCTTAGCATATTAATCCTCCAATCCTATGCATATTAACACCTACGGTCATCTCTCAGTTGCTTCTAGTTTGGGATGCGGTGCTTCCTACCTAGCTCTTATCGGGCGTTGAGGATCGTTTCGTTTGGTGTTGGACGAGTGATCAGTGTTACTTGGCGCGCTCAGCATAACAGGCATTCTTCTTTGGCTAGCACTCATTTGCCTGTGCCAACCTGCTCTGGCACGCGAAAGGCCATGCCAAATGCAAATTCTTTCTTCGGTTTGCATATCAGCAGCGTTGCTGGACAGCTGATCTTTTTCAAAAGCGTGGTATTGATAGCCACTATGTCTGTCCCTTTTGCGCTCAGGAGTTTGAGACGGCGAACCACATTCTCCTCGACTGTGTGTTCCCTTGACAGACCTAACACCATGTTTTGTCACCTGAGGGCTGGACTGCCCTCCTCTCCGGTGGCAATTTGCTTAAGGACTGGTGGTCGTCTGGTAGGACTTGCTTACCTAAGCATCTTCGCGCATGCTTCGACTCCCTAGTCCTACTGATCTCTTGGCAGCTGTGGAAGTAACGAAACTCTAGGGTTTTCGACTCGGCCCTTTCCTCGGTTTCTGTGTTTATAGAGTCTATCCACTCGGAAGGTTGTCTGTGGTTTTCCGCAGGCATTACAGCTTTTGAGGGTTTGCTAGGAGTGTAGTGTGGCTCCGTCCTACCTCTCGTTTGTTTGGAGTAGCCTTTGTTTCGCAATAGTTTTTTCCTTTCCTTTTACCTTTTGGTTTTTTTCTTTCTTCACCCCCAACATAGGCCTGTGTGGCCAATTGCGTTGTGTAACAAAAACTCTTTTTATTCTAACATATTGATGTATAACTATTTTGCGCGTTCGAAAAAAAAATCCTCCAATCCAGCCCTTAAAATCCTAAACCAAATATAGCCTAAGGTACTAGGAAAAATGTAAGCAATTTACTCATGTTGCAGTTATAAATTAACTGGCTCGGACTCATTTACAATGGGCAAATTGAACAGGTTTTTATTTTCTTTTTGCAATAATTTTGCAATTTAGTCATTTACACACACAATTTTCATGATTTACTGCATAATATGATACTATGATCATGCAGTAAATAATGACCTTAAATATTATCAAATGTAGTAGATACTCCAACCATCAAGATTTAAATCCAGGTACACATAATATTAAGCACACCCGGTTATGCTATTAATAGGAATTTAGCGAGGTCATGAATTTGACATTAGCTTCTGTCTCTTTGCGCAAGTGTTAGAATACGTTTTTGCAGATGTGGGTGAAAATAACACAGTATTTTACCAGGTTACCACCTCATGAGAATCTCCAGTATAACGATAGGTCCATCAGTTTGATAAGGACAGTTTGGTCTCAACTCCCTTTTAATTTTATTATCCTTGCATTTTTTACATTCTCCAGGGAAGAAAAATGCACTAGAAGATTATATTCTACTCCTTTTCAGATGCCGTATGCATCGGTGCTCTCTATTTCCCGACGAGATAAGTAAAAGAATCGGTCAAAATATTCACCAGAAAGAGAGTTTCTTGGAAATTTCAAGCCACTCTGGTCTTGCTAAGGGAAGTGCCAATCTCGGGTAGTAATTAACGACCCCTAAGTACGGTAATCAACACAAAAAGATTAATTTATTGTACTGATCTCCAAGGAGCGATGCTAATTGAGATGATGCCAGAAACGTCAAAATTAGAAGCAGATAGGAAGAAGTCATGGTCAGTGAAAGCATTAACAAATGACGAATTAATTTGGCAATCAGTGGCCGTTTTATCCACTGATCAGTCAAAGTTCGTCAGTTAGCTATGCCCCCAGATCGTGTTGCAATCAACTGTTTTGGTGATTATTGTATGAAATCCTTGCTTTACTTGATGACTAACGATGCATGCATGCGACGACTGAAAGACTGATGGCGTCAATGATTAGATCAGAGCTTTGCACTGATGAAGGCTTCATCTCGGCCTGCCTCATGTGGCTAACTAATGGCTATACACCTACTTTAATCTTCTGTGTTAAGCAATTTCTTGATTGATTATGACAACTACCAGCTGCAATTATGTGTCCTAATTCCAAATGTGCATCGAGGTAGGTCGACGACATGGATGATCCTGTGGAGAAAAATAGTGGCACTGATCAGCTTCTGAACCTTAACTAATTCAGTTTGTCTCCTCTTTTGTCCTCTGTAGATTGCATGATTAAAACTAAGCAGGTAGCAAATGAGTGAAAATAGAGAGACGGACAAAAGGAGAGTATGAAAGCTTGGATTGGTGGTGTTTGGTTGGTGATCTTCTCAACTTATCAGCATTTTTCTGCACCCAACACTCTGAAATAGGAAATGGTTGCATGACTGACCACTGACATTTTTTTTAATATAAGAAGGTAGAGCCTATCTAATAGTCATTTCATTGAAAGAAATGATAAGTTATAAAGTTTCATGAATAAGGGGAAAATGATTAAAGGAAGAGGAAAGGATAAAGAGAAAAGGAGATAGACTTACCACTGACTCGGGAGAATACTGGAAAAATTCAGCATCAAGTGTGGGAATAAACAAGCATACGCGCTTGTGTACCTGCAATCAGAGACTCGTAATTAGAGCCAGCTGCAAATATATTTTAAGGAGATAAATCAGGAGAGAGAAAAGTAGCGGGCTACAGATTTGTAGCTAGCTGTAGCACGGACTCCAAGTCGCAGTATGTCTATGACAGGTGGGACTATATATTAATAGTGTGGTATGTAACTATTATATAAATGAGCTATTAGATTGGCTCTAGATGAATTGGAGCTAGTAGTTAGCTATACTATTGAACTTGCTCTTAGCCAATTGGTCAGTGTGTCATGTAGTTAATTAATCTAGATTAAGATGTAGCTTGTTCATAATTAAGATGAGAGATACTCTAAAATCAAGTGTTCTCAGGTACAAAGAGTAGGACCATCAGACTGACCAAAACTTGTGAAGACATGCCTGCATCAATTAGCAAAAGTTCTTTAAAAATTTCAGTTAGGACTGATGCTGTCTGAAAATCTGTATACACACGAAAGATTAGAAGATTAATCTGTATGCACACATCATGGATACGTACGCGTGATCCGTCGACTTACCTGTCGAAGCAAACGTGATAGTCTTGCTTCTTGAATTGAAAAGCATGATTTTACACAAAGTTGATTATACAAGTTGATCAGATACAAGTTGATTAGATAAGCCATGGGAGTAGTAGTTAAGCACTGTTGGTATGGAAATGGAATTAGCATGCTCTAAGTCACTTTGCCCAAGTTGCCCAACAACCAACGGGGTGTGAAATGAGAAGTGACCCATTGTTGAAATGAATCCAAATGTTAGACAATGCAAAAGGTGTTATAAGATACAGGATTTTCTTCTTGTTTTTTTCCCTTTGATTTCAGGGAAGACGAATGCACATGCACACACATTATAACGTAAATAGGCCACACGCCTATGGACATAAGTATGATTTCTAAACTATGTTTAAAGAGACAGAGGCTGCTGTAAATCCTTCATTTTATTAAATTTATACTAAAAATGTACCAACACGTATAATATGAAACCATAACGGACGAAGTCATACAGACATGAATTCACAATCAAATTTATTTTCTCAAGATAAAATGATTTTCTAATTGCATGGGTTGTCATTAATGAGTCCAAATTAATAAATGCCTAGGTATGGGGTATGGCTATTTCCTCTGCATTAAGTCATCTCCTTTCCTTTTTTTTTCTTTCAAAGGCGTAAAATTAAAACTATCAGCATATTAGTTCTCTGCCCTACGAAATTATTAGTACTGCCAAAATCAGGGTAAACTATGGCACTACTAAAGAATTGGTAAGGTAAAGTTATCTAATGTATGTTTGGATTGTGACCAATATAAAGCCAAATTTAATATTGTGGTGAATAAACTTCTAGAATGAACCAAATAAAATATGGGCACTACGAATTGGTTGACCTCAACCAAAACTAGCACATTTAGTATTAAAGTTATAAAAAAATTGGTAACGCACATTTACCATGTCTATACGCCTATAGACATATAGAGGTTTAGCCACACCAATTCTTACTAGAAAAAGTGATTTAGCTACAATAAGGTTTTTTAATCCAGATGTGTCAATTAATAAAGAAAAAAATATCCTCAATGAAAATTCATCAGTGCCCTATCAGTCCCGGCAAATCCTTAATTAATTAATTATGCATCATCTATTTTGTTTTGAATAATGGAAAGACACCCGGTCCAACCCTTTGCTTTTGCCACTCTATAAATACATCTTCTTCATCCTTAATCCACCTGCAAAATAAAAAATTCAGACTCAACTCTCCTTAATCTCATCAAAAACACACACAAAAGCACACGAAAATTTCAATGGGATCGAAGCTTTCGTGCATCTACCGGCCGGAGAGTGACATCGTCGTCGAGTCGGAAGCTCCGGCGCCGCCGCCGCCGCCGGCGAGGGTGATCGCGGCCGACGGCTCGCTGAGGGAGCTGCCGGCCTCTCCCTGCGTCGCGGTGGTCTCCGACGTGCTCGGCGGCGGCGACGACGCGGCGTCCTTCTTCGTGTGCAACTCCGACGCGCTCTACTTCGACGACCGCCCGCCGGCGCTGTCCCCCGGCGAGCCGCTCCGGCCGGGGGAGCTCTACTTCGTGCTGCCCAGGGCGATGCTCGGCCGGCCGCTGTCCAGCGCCGACATGGGCAGGCTCGCCGTCCGCGCGAGCCTGGCGCTCGTCGGCGAGAGGCCACAGCGGCGGCGGCGACACCGGCAAGGCGGCGGCAAGAAGCAGAAGAAGAAGGTGCACGTCATGCCGGCGCAAGCGCAAAGCAGAGACGACGGCGACGGCGACGTCGACGGCGTGTTCAACGAGAAGCTGAACGAGCAGACGCTCGGCGTGTTCGCCGTGTTCCTGAGTCCGGCGAGAGGCGCCGCGCCGGCGGCGGCGGCGGCGGCGAGGTCTCCGCTGAAGAGGGCGTTGAGCTTAGTAGAAGAGGAGGCATAGTAGTGAGGCAGTAGGAAGTAGTAGTAGGAATCCGTTTCTTGTTTTGCGCAAAGTAGAATGAACCAGTATATCATCCTCAAGTTTGGTTGTACTCACAAACAAAAAAAAAAGAGAGGAAGAAACAGGACGAATTTTGAAGTAAACTAGGCCTTGTTTAGTTCCAAACTTTTTCTTTAAACTTTCAATTTTTCTATCACATTAAAACTTTACTACACACATAAATTTTTAACTTTTCCATCACATCGTTTCAATTTCAACCAAACTTCTAATTTTGACGTGAACTAAACAGACCCAAAGATGAATGAATTCCTTAGCTCAAAGGAAATCCTCTCTCCGTTTGCATATACTTGACACTGAAGTACGATTCATCTCGAATCACTCATGATTTTTAGGGGATCATAAGTCCTCAAAATGATGATATATTATCAAGCATGTTGCATCTTAGGCTTGTTCCATACTTGGCTTGCATCATAGGCTTGTTCAAACCTTTCTCCTGCGCACATAAAACAACAAAACATGATAACTCATTAGCACATAATTAATTAATTATTAGCTAAAAAAGTTAAACAATGAATTAATATGATTTTTCAAAGCAATTTTCCTCTATATTTTTATTTTTATTAAAAGAAGTAGAGTTTTTCAGTTTAGGAAGGCGCATGTGCGTGAAAAATAGTACGGAGTAGTAGATTAGAAGTTAGAAAAGCTTAGCTGAAAACACACCCTTAACCGTGAAAGTTTCTCCTATAGTAGTCTAACCATTTAAGGACTATTAAGGCTCAACGTTAAAATGACGAAAGTCAACATTGCAACGCAAATGTAAACGGAAGCGGTTTGGAACAAACTTTGTAAGGCCTTGTAGTTTGATGAAACCCATATCCCGGCCCATCTCGGGAGTATTATTTGGGAAGAGATTAAGCTAAGTAAGCATGTGGTTCAATCAACAATAACCAGAGTTAGTTAGCTGAATCTTGGTGGGGGAATCATTTAGTCTAACCCGCTAAATCACCCTATCAAGTGTTCTTTTCCCCTGATTGTGCTATCTTAAAATGCATTGCTTTCGATTATACAACATCACGGAGATATTAAAAAAAAAACAAATTCAACCCACACGCTGAGGTATAAAGGAATCAAATTCAGCAGATGAACAATAATGGTACTATTCATATCTAGATTTGTCTTTCTCTTTTTTCCCAATGCATAGTCACTATACTATACATTATCATTTTTTAAAATATTTGTATAAGTATTTATATTAAACTTTTAAAAAAACAAAATATACACGAGTGAAAATTCCCTCAAGAGATTTGAATCCATTCCGTAAATTCAAACGAAAGAATCAAAGAAGTACTAGTACTAGTCTCAAAAATAATCTAATCCTAACTACAGATCTGGATATATGCGTATGCAGGTTCGTAGATAGGGCGTGTGCAGGTTCGTAGATAGGATTTGTTTTTAGACGGAGTAGTAGGTCGGCTTGTAAATTGTAAGCCTTGTTTGGTATAAAAGCCCACGCACTGGCCCATCTCTAGAGAACAGGGATGAGCAATTCGATGGTATAGGCAATCATATTTGTCCCCAAATTTGCGAAAACTTATACAGAATCAGTCAAAACCACCTATAATGACTCAAAACTTATACAATTCGATCGTACTCCTTCTCAGTCAAGCATGTCAAGTTGTCGCTGCTGCTCGAGGACAGTTTTTATTCGCACCATCAATTGCAACACAAATACTATTTTCAGCTACAAATTCAAAACTCAATTTGAAAAATTCCGATCTTTTCGCATCGATTTGAATCGAATTTGCCACCGATTTGGTTCGTTTTGCTACCTCCCAATCAGCGACGACCCGGAGTTGCCGTGATCCGAGGGGTTCCAGTCCACCGTGGAGCCGTACACCGCCGCGAGCGAGACGAACACCTCGTCCATGGCCGGCCGCGCGGCGGGCTGCCTCGCCACGCACCGCGCCGCCAGCGACGCCACGGCCATGGCCAGGTCGAGCGGGTAGTCGCCGCCAAGCCGCGGGTCCATGAACGCGCGCACGTTGCTCCCCGCGTCCTCGCCGCCGCCGTCGACGAGCGCCTCCGCCGCGGACTCCCACAGCAGCAGCGCCTCGCCGTTCTCGCCGTCGCCGGAGGACGCCGCCTCCTTGCCGGAGAGGAGCTCGAGGAGGACGACGCCGAAGGCGAACACGTCGAGCTTGGGCGTGATGAGGCCGTGCTCGAGGTACTCCGGGGAGAGGTAGCCCTGGGTGCCCACGACGTGGCGCGTCAGCTGCGCGGCGGCGGCGGCGGCGCCGTCGCCCGCGGGGAGCGCGCGGGCTAGCCCGAAGCTGGACATCTTGCCGTGGAGGTCGGCGTCGAGGAGGATGTTGCTGCTCTTGATGTTCTTGTGCACACATGGCGGGTTGGTGTAGTGGTGGAGGTAGTTGAGCCCGTCGGCGACGTCGAACGCCACCTGCACGCGCTGCCTCCACCCCAGGACGCCGGTGGCGGCGTCGCCGCCGTGGAGCCAGTCGCTGAGCGCGCCGTTCTCGGCGTACTCGAAGACGAGGTAGGTGTCGCCGCGGTGGACGCAGAGGCCGGAGAGGCGGATCAGGCTGCAGTGGTTCACGCGCTTCAGGATGCCGACCTCGCCGCTCACGTCGCCGGAAACACGCTTCACCGCCGCCGCATCGCCGTTGAACACGCCGCGGTACACGGCGGTGCCGGGCACCCTCCGCTCCTCCGAGAACCCCGCCGTGGCCTTCTCCAGCTCCGAGTACTTGTACACCGTTAGCGACTCCAACGCCTCGCGCACTTCGCTCGCCATCAGCGACCTCGCCGCGGACAGCGACGACATCGAGGTTGCCGTCGTCGTCTGCTTCCCCGATGCCAGGGCGCCGTACTCCGCCGAAGAGGACACGTCGCCGACCACCTTCCCCGGACGAACACTTTCTTCCCCAACGCCGCGTCGCCGCCGGAGACAGAAGAACAGCAAGCCAAAGACACCCGCCAACGCAAGAACGCCGCAACCGACGCCTACCCCAACGGCGACTCCCTTCCCGCTGCCCGACCCACCAGGCGGCGGCTGCGCCCGCGGCGGCGCGGGCGCGGGGGGCGGCGGCGCCTGGGCCGGCGGCGCGAGCATGTCCGGCGTGGGCGCGTTCTTGAGCGGGACCAGCAGCGTGGTGAAGGGGTATATGATGGAGCTCTCGGTGAGCGTGTTGGCGTCGAGCACCTCCTGCGCGTCGACGCGGAACCGCGCGGCGATGGCGGAGACGGTGTCGCCCCAGGTGACGAGGTAGGTGACCATGTGCTTGACGCCCGCGGCGGCCTGCGGCGGCGAGGGGCAGGCGCAGCGGAGCGGGACGGTGAGGTTGTCGCCGGCGACGAGGCCGCGGCTGTCGTGGAGGGGATTCTGCGCGATGAGAGCCTGGCACGTCGAGAGGCCCTGGTAGGTGAGGTTGGCGATGATGAAGTAGGTCTCGACGCCGGTGTCGCGGATGGTGTGGGAGGCGTTGTGCTGGTAGTAGCCGCCCGGGGAGCAGCCGCACGGCACGGGCGCGAGCACGAGGCGGTCGGCGGCGACGGGGGCGACCGGGTCGACGGCGTTGGAGTCGGCGACGGCGGCGGCGGCGACGTTGAGGAGGTAGGAGATGGAGACAGCGGAGGCGTAGAGGGGCGGGGAGGAGCGGAACACCAGGTACGCGTCGCAGGGCGCCGCGGCGGCGGCGGAGGCGGAGGTGGCGTTGCAGGTGTAGCCGAGGGTGGAGCTCGCGTTGGTGGCGTAGCAGGCGTTCTGCTGGTTCGCCTCGTACTCCTGCTGCGCCCTCGCCGCGACGGCGAGGAGGAGGGCGACGACGACGAGCGAGAGCCCGGCGCCGCCGCGGCGGATTCGGCGTGGAGTTTCCGCCATCGGCGAGGTCGGGGGCGGATTGGTCTCCGTCTCCGTCTCCGGCGAGGCCTTGTAATTAAGTGGTTGTTGGCTGCTGTCCTCCGCTGGTTTAGCTGGAGACAAGTTGGGTCAACGGTGACGAGTCAAACTAGTGGCACATTTTTCTATGTGGGGATGCAGCGACGGATCTTTGATAAACTTTTCATAAATTTTACCACGCGGAGTACTCCTATTAGTCATGAAATCGATGAGTACTTGCCTAAACGTGTCGCATCCGGTACGTCGTGAGCTAGTAATAACCGGCATAGTTTTAGAAGTTGATTTAAAGGATTTTTTTTGTCTTTCTTTTTAATTCTCATTTAGGTAAGAATAAAAGTACATAAATGATAAATCATACCCCCACTATCACAAAATGTAACTATATTTTTAGATAGTGCTAAATTAGACATTTTAAAATTAACTATTAATAACAAAAAAAATATAAAAAAGATTGATCAGGTAAAAAGTATCTTTATCCTTATCCTTACACAAGGATGGTTCATCAAAGTAGTATCTCGAAAATCGTGTAAAAGTTTTAAAAGGCCATATTTTAGGACATAGGAATTGTATATTTCAAATTATTTTCTGTTTTTTAAATTACGCGTCGTCAGGTCATTATTAGCCGAGTAGTAAAACTTGTTTGGAAATAAACCCGTGGAACTTTATCACTGTGGGTTCCATTTGTCACTGCAACTTCGCAAAGCAACACAAGACCAAATGGGCGAGCCCATAGTACATGGGAAATGGTCAAAGAACCGAAGGGCTAGCGAGTAGTACGGGGGAAATGGTCAACACAAAGACCGTCCCGTTATCAGTGGGACACGCAGCAACACGGGGATGATGGGTTTCCACAGGCCACTCCAGTCCAGTCACGTCGTGTGTGTTTAGTTCACGCTAAAATTAAAGGTTTGATTAAAATTGAAACGATGTGATAGAAAAGTTCGAAGTTTATGTGTGTAGAAAAGTTTTAGTGTGATAGAAAAGTTAAAAGTTGAAAGAGGAAATTTGGAACTAAACTCGGTCATCGCCCATTTTTTCCGAGCGAATTCAGGTTGCTTCACGGGACGCGCAAGCGCAACCGCGGACCATGCTGGATTCGTTCCTTTGTCTGACTGTTAGACTTAAATGAAGATGGTTGCTAATATTCTCTCTATCCTGAAATATAATAAATTTTAAAGAGATATGATACGTACTATAAATCTAAACACATTTTAGTAATATGAATTTAAACACATACCATAAATCTAGACACATCCTAATAGTATGTATATGTCACATTCCTCTAAAATTTCTTGGGTGTGTTTTGCTGCACTCCTTGAGCTGCGGTGCAGCTATCTTTCACAGTAATGTGTGTCAGCGTAACAGTTGTATGGCTGCATTGCAATGACTACAATCGTGCACCCGAACGGGACCCTTATATTTTGAAAGATGAAGTATGTTAGTCCGAGGACAATTCGTCCACGTTTTAGTCATCACGTCGGGTGGAACATTATGGGCCAGCATATTTGCAAACTAAAAATAATTTATGGATAAAATTTTTATGTATGTGTTCTTAGCGAGCTAAAAGCAAAAACTGAAAAATAAACTTCGATGAAAAAACCCTCAAAATCAACTCTAATTTTAAAATTAAAAATTTAAATTTTAGCAGATAAGTATAAGTATAAGCGAAAAGATAAGTAATAGATTAGTGAAGTTCCTTTCAGTCACAGCAAATATGTTAGTGAAGTGCTAATCGGTCAACCAAGCACTCGAGCATACTTTGGGGCTGGTCTAGCTCACGAACGTTCGAGATGAGCGGATTTCACGAACGGTTTTCATGGCATAACAATCTCTTCCTGCCTAATTACGTGATTAGTATTTGTTTCTTCTGTTAATAACCAAATCCATGCCGCCACTATTTGTACTTACGAGATTTGTTTGATTGGATTATATTTTTTTCGGGAAAATATCCGGTGTGGCATGATCATCATTTTTTATTTATATTAAGATTAAAGTGTACGGGCAGCCCTTAAACTTATAAGGGTGTATCATTTAGGTCCCTAAACTTTCAAAATGTATATCCAAATCCCAGAACTTGTTATAGTGTGTCATATGGGTCCTAAATCGCCAGAACCACTTCAGGATCCTATGCGGCGTTGATGTGGCATGCCACACGGACATGACGTGGGATTATTTTGACTGACAAATAGGATCCATTTAATTTTTTTATTTTTTCTTTTTTCTTCTCTTTTTTCCCTTTATTATCTTTTTCTTTGTGACCTTGAGCAGAAGAAAGGAAAAAAAGAAGAATAAGAAGAAAACGAAAAAGAAAAAGAAAAAGAAAGAAGAAAAAAAAAGAAAAGAACACGTCACATCCATGTGGCATGCCATATCAGCGCCACATAGTATCCTAGAGGGGATGTGTCGATTTGGGACCTAGATGATACACTTTGACAAGTTCTGGGACCTGGATATACATTTTGAGAGTTTAGAGATTTATATGACACAACTCTACAAGATTAAGGATCGCCAATGCACTTTACTCTTATATTAAAGTTAATACACTAAATTATCTAATAATTGCAAATATAAATTCTATAGAAAGTTTATATACATAAAGTCTACATAGAAACTTTTTTATATATAAAATTTATATATTGAAAGTTTTTATATATAAAGTCTACATAAAAATTTTATATATGCAAAGTCTATATATTGGGCTTCATATATATAAAGTTCATATATGTAGAAAGTCCCAAAAAAATTCATATTAAAAAGTTCCGTTAATAAAACTAGAAAGAGACTAACAAAAAAACAAATATGAAAAAAAAGTGAAAGAAACAAAAAAATGTTGATACGTATATAGGAGGATCACGTGAAAAGAGAAAAACGGAAAATTGGGAACAGAACAATACAGCTTCCTCGCGCATCCTCTACTCCTCGTGGCGCGTCCTCTAGTCCTCTTCGTCCATATCCATTCACAAGATTCCTGCTGAGCGAATGTTCGCTCACTAGTCTTTCCGTACTTATTTGTGTCCATTCATTTATCTCTGTTTCTGATAAAGTTATTGGAGATGTCGCCATCGTCAAAGTATACGAAATTGATCCGTGGTGACCTGGTGGGTAATCGGGTTTTGGCGGTTCATAAATAACTACTCGAATTTTATTCAAAGTTTGCAGAATTTTGCCAAAATTTACCAATGCGTATCCAATTGATAACACAGAAAACTGAGCGGTTAACATCTGTTTTGCGAACTTGTGTCAGCTACTCACATGACCAGGTGACCATCGGTCCTATTCTTTTCAAATTAAGATAAATATTTTTTCTCGATTTTCATTAACATATTTTTCAAACTGTTAGGCAGTATATTTAGTGCGAAAATGTTTTTCAAACAATTTTTGAAGTTTAAAATAAATAAAACTAAATTAAATCACGCGTTAACGGTTTTCTGCCGTACTTAGTCGTCCTCAACTCCATCGAATTTTTTTTATTTATAATTTTTTTTATTAAAAGTTTTACAAAAATAATTTTCCATTTTGAAAATTGACGGAAGGAGTCGCCTACCGCCCTCTGGGACGCCCTCTCAGAGGGCGGCGAAAATGACGTGGCAGACGGCCGTTCGCTCTCGGGCGACGGCCGTCAACGAAATTTGCAGGCGGCCCCCTTGCCGCCCTCCGCTAGGGCGATTTTATACTGTGCGGGGGGCCGCCTGCAAATTGGCGGCGAGGGGGGGCATGGAATTTTGCAGGCGGCCCCCTTGCCGCCCTCAGCTAGGGCGATTTTGTACTGTGGGGGGGGCCGCCTGCAAATGGGCGGCGAGGGGGGCATGGAATTTTGCAGGCGGCCCCCTTGCCGCCCTCCGCTAGGGCGATTTTGTACTGTGGGGGGGCCGCCTGCAAATGGGCGGCGAGGGGGCATGGAATTTTGCAGGCGGCCCCCTTGCTGCCCTGGGGGAGGGCGATTTTTGCCTCTCCCCCTATAAAGCCCAGTCCCTCCTCTGTGAAATTTCATTATATTCACTAAAAATCCAAAAAAAACAAAAGAGAGAGAGGGGAAGGCAGCAGAAGGGGAGCGGCGAAGCCCTGCTGGTTCGCTCAATTCATCACAGGTATGCTCCCATACATCTTTTGTGCATTTGTACTAATATGTTATGTTTGAGTATATATGTTGCGTTTTAGTTTTAGTTCCATATATTTTAGCACATCTGTAGCACACAGCACATATGTGTAGATCCAGAGCATAGAATATAATAGTATGAATTGAGACATAGACAGTAGTGTTAATTGTAAGATGTAGTTTAGTTTGATCTGGAGAATGTAACGTAATTTTAGAAATTTAGAGAACAATATTGTAGAGAATGTAACTTAGGGCGTAGTACAGAAATGCGAGGTTAACGCAGTTATTGTTTTCATCAGGCACAATGTCAAGTAAGGTCACATTTCAGATAGTTCACGGTGAAGGAAATATTAGATTTGGTCCAGATGGTGTTGATCTGTCAGATTTTGTAATGACATCTAAGGGCATCGATAGGCCTGCGGAGAGAACATTTCAGTCAATTTATAGTTGGTTGTTGAGAGGATTTAGAATAGACCAAGAAGTCTACACAATGTCAGTGTCAGTTGTAGTGAGTCGTGCAACAGAAGGTTATTTTTGGGAACTAATGCCGATGGACAGCACTGATGCTTGGAGACGGTATGTGGAAATGGCTTTTGAACGGTCATGGCCCCTCGTTATATTTGTGTCGGTACAAGAGAAAGATATAAATGTTTCAATGCAAACCGAAGATGTAGAGGGTCCTATCAATGCAGGGGATGTTGTTGGACCATCGATGCAAAATGAGGAAAATCAACCAAGGGAGGAGCAGGCTATGGGCATGGCGGATGAGGGGGAGAGAGTCGGTATAATTGTTGATGAAATGGAGAGGGAAGATTCGGATAATGAGGAAGTGGACGACGACGCATCATCCGATGAGGAAGGTGATGTAATGGCCACTGATTGGGCAAATGAGGACTTCTCTGGACTTGTTATATCAGAGGGTGATCATGTACCCTGGGAGTATAAGGAGAATGAGGTAATTGAGGGTGCAAGATATGCTCATAAGGATGAGAGGAAGGAGGCGGTGAAGCATTGGGCAGTTTCCTTGC